TCAAGGGTTGATACACTGATAGCAAATCTGTGATGTATTTAGGTGCTAAGCGATTCAGAGATTTATAGACTAACAGAAGTATTTTAAAGTCTATTCTCTGAGATACAGGGAGCCAGTGTAACTGCATCCCCATAAGATTGATTTCTCTGGGCTCCCTTGATCGGCTCCATCACTTAGTGTAGTGGGGGCTGTGGGGCGCATCCTGCGGGGGCTGGGGGGGCTCGGAGTGGGGTTCCTGGCGGGTCTGGCCCCGGGGTCTGTTACCCCAATCGTTGCAGGGCTTGGGACACCTTGGGGTGTCCTACAGCGTCCAGTTGCGGTGCTCTCGGGAGAGTTCCGTGGTGGCGGACGTGGGCTACTGGCCTGGTACAGTAGATGTGCTGCTGCCGGGTGGATCCGGGGTGGGTATGGGGGTCTGGGCGGTTTGCCCTCAGGCGAGTGCCCCGGCGGGGCGTCGGGGGTTTGGGTTCTGTGGGGAATGCTTTCTAGGAATCTGGCCAAAATTTTTAGTCCCCCAAAACTTACAACCCAGTGTGCAGACAGGGAAGCAGTCTGCACACTCAATGCGAATCCAGACACTTTTAATTGAGAAAACTTCCTGGAGGGGAAGCTAAACGTCTTCAAACCTTGGAAACAAAGTGCAGGGGATTGTTTTTAACTTTTACGGAATGACTATGACCTGGGTGACAGAGAATCTTCACCAGCATCTTCAATTATATTTATCCTAACAGTAGAATGCAGAGAATTAGCAACGTCATCAACAAAATCATCAACCTGTGAAGGGGAATAAAATAAATGTTTGCATTCTGCAGAACTGCTCAGCAACATAAAGAGAGAAACTAAAACAGATTCTTTAAAACTTATAACTGCATTATATGATAATGAACTGCTGAAGTGAAACCTTCTTTTGGAGAGGAGAACTCTGTTAAAGTAATTCTGAAGGTTATTGAAAAGTGGCCTGAGAGGACAGGGTTGTGAGGAAATATTGTTAACTCTTCACATTCGATGCCATATGTTTTCATTTTTCATTTGAAAAAGTTAATTTCAAACCTGCACACATTTTACAATACATATAATGACAAACAATACATATGCATGGCTTGAAAAGGGGATGGAGGAAGCAAAAGCTTATACATGTCCAATCCCCTCCCGCTCATCCCAAGGACACTCCTGCAAATGACAAGACAAAGACAAGACAAACAACCCATCCACACTCATGCATACAAGACAACACACTGGCCCAACGCTCCCCGTCCCTGCAACAAGGTCCAAAGTATGAAGATAAGAATGTGTGGGAATATTCTCATTTTGAACAAAACCAATAGTTTCTAAGATCACATTAAAGGTTGCAATTAAGCCATGACCTTCAATGTCAGCATGGATGTTAAAATCCCCCACTATAATGACCCTGTTAGAATTCAACACCAAACCAGATAGGAACTCTGAAAGTTCATCTAAAAATTCAGAGTAAGGACCAGGTGGACGACACAAAGTTACGAAAAGTCCAGCAGGTTTGTGCTGTTTCTCTTTTACTTTGGACTAATGTGACCACCAGAGGCATCTGTCTACAGCAGAGGTCACAGATTAGCGGGCCGTGGTGCAGATCCGGACCGACCTGCTGGCTAATCCGGACCCAACCTGATTTAAAACATTTACGCATTTCTGCATGTTGTCGGACAACAGTAACTAACTTCACTTGCACCGCTTCTCCTGTTGATATGGCAACATATCAACCCTGCCCGATTTTTTTAATTGATTACCCTTGGTCTACAGTATCAGGCTGGGAGATTTTGCTGTAGAACCAAAACTGCTAAAAACATTTTTTTTTTTAAAACAACTAGGAAAAAGAAAACATTAAAAATACCAGATATCAAAGTTTAAAACATTCAAAATAAAGTATTTCTATTTGGAGGGAGGTAGAATTTAAAGACTTGAGGTATAATTTTTTAAATCGTGAATAAAAAACATTCATGATTTATTATTATTATTTTTTATATCTCTAACTTATAAATTAAAGTAATTCCTGCTACAATAATTTACATCATTAGGAGTTCAGTTTATAGGATGATCTAAGACAAATTTTCTTTAAGTCATTTTGGAAGGGAATGTAAAAAAGTGAATTTAATATGCAAATATTTAAGCACAATTAAATTAAATATCTTATTTTTAAAAATGAGGTTTTCAGTAGTAAGTACTGAAAAGAGAAGGTTATATTCAATTCAGCTCTTTGTATTTGATATCTTGTAGTTTTTATAGGAATGTGGATGATCAGATTAATTTGAGGACTTTTAGAACTTTTGATCTCGTTTCCCATTTTATTTTAACAAGTAAGACATGCTGATCTTGGTCTTGACTCGGTCTTACCCCACCCACCCAGGGCTTGCTTAAAAAAAAACTTCTAAAGAGGTTAAAGGGGAAAGAGGAATTGTTGTCTTAATGTCAGAATGAGCCGAACAGATTTTACTCTCACAAGTGGAGCATTTGTGCCATAGTGCTCTGCTTGACTTATATGTGTAAATAGTTCTATTATGGTTTTTGAAGGGAATAATTCATATGTGGACATTACAAAAAAATTTAAAAGAAGAGAGAAAGAAAGAGAAGACAAATCTTAATCAGTCTGCTCCATCTGTCAGGAACTAGAAACCTTGCACCCAACATTCAAGCAGACAGGTTTGGATGATTTCACAAAGGTCTTTAGTTTAACAGAAAGTGTGCGGCAGCTTGTCAGCTGGAGAAGATTACTTGAATGGAAACTCAGGTCAGTGACTTAAAATGAAAGGCTGGCAATGACTAAAAGAAATAGTCATTGACCTGGTTCGGAGTTTAGTCCGATGCCATAGGAAGGTTATGAATCCAAGAGGGAGATTGTCCACTTCTTGCAGCGGGTGCCACCTCCACATTACAGAATGAGGTGCAGAGCTTATGCCAACCAACGAAGGGGAGCAACAATGTCCAGAAGGGAATATCCTGAATCGAAGTCAAACCAGGTTCAAAGACCAGAAGATCAGAGAGCCGAGGAGATGCAGAGGGAGAATCCAGCTGAGGTCTAAGGAGCAGTCCAAGTTCAGTAAGCCAGTAGAATCCAGTAATCAGTCCAGAACTGATCAGACTAACAGAGCAGACAGGGGCAAAGTAAAATTCAGGATCCACAAAACAGAAACAGTTCAAAATCAGAAAGTCAGAACAATAATCAGAAAGGTAGAGTCTCACCAAACAACTCGAATAATCTGGCGCTGATGGCAGGAAAGCAAACAGTAGAAAACATAGAAAATATAAAGGAAAAGGAGTCGATAACCAGATCGAATGGGAAAAAGAAGCTCTGATAAGAAATTAATCAGATGATGCCCACAAAATACTTATATAGAAAAAAGAATCTTCTGTCGAGTCTCATTCAAACAGGGTGATCATAATTTCTTACTGTAAAATTAAGCATCCATCCATCCATCCATCCATCCATCCATCCATCCATCCATCTTCATCCGCTTATCAGGGGTCGGGTTGCGGCGGTAGCAGCTTCAGTAGGGAGGCCCTCTCCCCAGCCACCTGGGCCATCTCCTTCGGGGGGAATCCCAAGGTCTGGATGACTGAGAATCTTCATCAGCATAATTTGCAAACAGAACAATAGTGAAGTCTTTGCCTGCTCTTTTTTGTCAATTGTCATGGTTGCTAGATGAGAGCGTACGTACATAATTGGTTTAGAAGTCTTTATACAGCAATGTTGGGTGTCTATATAAAAACACCAATAAATACAATAATAACATTTGGATGAGTTTTTTTAGGTAAATGTAAAAACCTTAATTATCAGTTAACATATGTAATGATTATCTGAACCTGAGAATGCAAAAAATACGATCCATCTTCTCCCACCAGGGCTGGGCCAGATCCTTTCTCTGTCAGTCTATTTGCAAGAGGCGGGGTACACCTCGGACAGGTTTCCAGGGCAACACAGAGACAGCCACGCACACACACACAAACAAGGACAATTTAGAGAAGCCAATTAACGGTCCTGTTTTTGGAACGTGGAAGGAAGCCCATACCAAGAGAGAACCCACACATGCACAGGGAGAAAATGCAAACTCCATGCAGAAAGACCCTGGGCAGGGAATCAAACCTTCTTGCTGCAAGGAAACAGTGCTACCCACTGCTTTAACGTGCAGCCTAGCAAAAAATACCTGTCATGAAAAATCTTAAAACTTTTACTCAGCAGACATCAGCAAGAGAAATTACGTGCTAAATTCAACGCCCTCTGAATGGAAATTCTTTTCCCAACATCCTCTCACAGAAAAGGAAGAACAAATGCAGCAGCTGGCTTCCACACAGAGATGACAAAAGTACTCACTTTCCGTACTTGAGTAAAAGTACAGATACTTGTGTTAAAAAATACTCTGGTAAAAGTGGAAGTACTGATTAAACTTCTTTACTCAAGTAAAAGTAACAAAGTACAGGCTTGTAAATTTACTTAAAGTATAAAAGTAAAAGTAGAAACCACCTTTTTCATGCCGTTGCCTACATTTTAAATGGATGTCTGCCAATAGGACTAGATCTCCATTGTGTTCATTTTCAATCATCTCGTCGTCCATGCTACTATGCTAACGCCACCGCCACCAAGCTGCAATGATTTGCCGCGAATGAATACCGCCGAATCTGTCGATTCATCTTGTAGTGGTGCGTCAAATGCAACGTAGATTCCCATCCAATTAGATTGAATTTGGTATTGATGACGTGAAAAATAATAAATGTAACTCAATTGAAATGATTCAAAACTAAAGTAACGAGCCAATTTTTTAAAATGTAAGGAGTAGAAAGTACAGATATTTGTGTAAAAATGTAAGGAGTAGAAGTAAAAAGTCGCAATAAAAATAAGTAGTAAAGTAAAGTAAAAATATCAGAAAAATCTACTTGAGTACAGTAACGAAGTATTTGTACTTCGTTACTTCCCATCTCTGCTTCCACACAATACTGGTTTTAAAACAGAGAAACAGAGAAGTTGCTCTTTAGATCTTCACCTCACCAACTGATACACTCCATGAAACAGTTCCATTAGGTAAGATGTTGTTTATTCATTGTACATTTATTGTGACCTTTAGGGTAAAACGGTTAGTTATACGTTATAAGTTTGCGATTTAAGTGTAAATTATTGTGATCATTTTACCTGCAATTTCAGTTTTACTACCTCTGGAAAAGTGCAAAATGACTGAAAAGATTAGAATATGTAACTCGAAGTAACGGCCAAAGACACTAAAGCTGTATCCAATTGTAACTTTGTTTAAAGAAGGAACTTTTTTTTTTTTCAGAAATTTTTTCCAGTATATGAAATGAAGGATCGTCTAAATCTGATGGCAGCTCTGTCTGAGAACATGCTGAAAGTAAACATGTTACTGAGTGTCTTCTTTCTTCCAGGTGAGCTTTGTTCACTTTCTTTCATTTATATACAAACAAAACTTAAAACATTTATTCTCTGAAATATTAGATGCTGACATAATTTAAAGGCTAAACATGTAACATGTTGTAGCTGAATTGTTCATGGATCATGAAGTTTATCTGCTGGCAGATTTTGCTTCACATCATGTTCCTCATTTGTTTGTTTTTACAGGTACTTTGGCTGGTTGTGGTAAAAACCCAGCCCTCAGAATCACTACACCAAAGAAGATTGAAGCTCTGAGTGGATCTTGTTTGGAAATCCCATGTATCTATGATACAGAGCATACCAGCTATAACAGCAGCAGAACTATCTATGGAGTTTGGATGAAAGGTGCTATCAATTTTTGGGCGGATCCAAATATCGTTATTTTCAACAGCAGTGGGTCAGTTAACACCTATTCACTGAATATTGATGGAAACCTGAGAGAAAAAAACTGCACCACTCTGTTTCCTGATGTAAAGACCAGTTATACAGACAGATACTTCTTCAGGATTGAGAACGAGCCGTTCAAAGCATCAGCTTGTGATGATCCTCTCGATATAACAGTTAAAGGTACAAGAGTTTTCTGAACATATTATTATAAAAAAGGTTATTTCAATTATGAATATTTAAAATTTATAATAAAAAAACAAAATCTCCCTAAAGACTTTAGAAGCTTTGAAAGATTTCACAAGAAACATTTTTGAGGCATCTGGAGAATGCAATGATTTTTTAAAATATTTTTACCAGCAAATTAATAATATGAATATTACAAAATGTACAAAATATCATCTATTTTTCATTTCTGGCGTAGTTTCTATCACCAAAACAAAAAATGCTTAACGATGTCAGAAAAGTATTTTGTCTTTTTTGTATTAAATCACCAATTGTACTAAATATTTTCTTTCTTTCTTATCTTCAAGAAAATAAGTGTTAAAATTTGAAACTGTTTATATAAACATAATATGAAAACATTTCACTGAATAGTACATAGATATATTTTTATTTGACACACCAAAATGTTGAGACTTTATTTTGAATGTTGACTTTGATTTCTGAACCATCTGTTTACTGCAAATTCCCAGATTCTCCTTGGACTCCCAGCATTAATATCCCTGTTGGTGATCTGAAGGAGCATCAGTCTGTCACTATAAGCTGCTCAGCTGTGACTCCCTGTCCACACTCACCTCCTGAACTCACCTGGAATCTCCAACAAGACTCTGAGAGACAAACAGAGAAAAACACAGATGGAACCTTTACAACTAAAATCCAGGAGACCATCACTCTGTCAGACACACATGATGGATACAACATCAGCTGTTCTGCCAGATATCCTGTGAATGGAGGAAGCAAGACAGCAGAGACAGAAGTGACTCTCAGTGTTTCATGTTAGTGATCCTGTCAGCACATCATGGTTCAGCTGTTTCTGATCAATAAAGTTAATGTGTGTCCCATTTTCCTCAGATGCTCCTAAAGACACCTCAGCATCCATCAGTCCATCAGGTTTGGTGTCAGCAGGTAGCTGGGTGGAGCTGAGCTGCTCCAGCAGAGCCAAGCCTCCTGCCAGCTTCACCTGGTTCTGGAACAGCAAACATGGAGCCATTAATTTATCTGTGGGGCAGGTTTACAGCTTCAATGTTACTGAGGGAGAAGAGTATTACTGTGAGGCTACAAATGATCTGGGGAATCAGAGATCAGTCATCTTTCTTCTTGTAAAAGGTGAGTTGTTAAAGGTATACTATGCAACCGATGTTGATTTTCCAGCGAGGCTCCCCCCAGAGGGCGAAAGTAAAAGTGCACTGTCGTAAATATGCACAGCTGCTTTCCTGGTTTCTCCGTCAAGCCAGGCGCGGTTGTTTTGAGCTTAGCAGACAGGCGAACGCAACGAATGACTAACACAGTGAAAGCATGAACATGCACACAGAGAGAGAGAAATCATTCCAATGTTACTTACAATCGCATCAGCAGAAACGCGAGGTCCGCGTCAGCCTTGCAGCCTTTTTATTTTAGCTCTCGCCATTCGGAAAAAGCTTGCCCGATGTTCACCCGTGTACGACTCCTCTCTCTGTCCGGAGCCCTTTTCCTCTTTCTTGCCTGCTCCGACATGGGCTTTCGCTGTTTTCACGCTGGTTCCGCCATGATAACTGCACAAAGATCGCCACTGTGCTAGCAACGAGCATGCTTTTAACTAGGGGCGTGTAGCAGTTCTCGCCATAAAGCAAGACCGACTCTCGCGAGACTTCTGAGCCTGTGGGTGCGGGCCAAGGGCTCCTGCAATTGCAAGTGCGGTATTTCCCCCACAGACCACCAGGGCGGCCGAGAATACCTTTGTTCAACCTGAAATGACTCATTTAATCATCCAAAACGTTATGGAACACATTCATTAACTGAAAAATGTTGCATAGTGTGCCTTTAACTAACTCCTTGGTTCATGTTGTTGTTTTTTACATTGATAGAATGTTTTTCTTTGTGTTTCGACAAATGAATTTTAATTATGTGGTTCTAAAAAACTTTCTAAGGGATCAATCAGTAATAATGATACCTTGGCTGTCAAGCTCAGAAGAGTAGGATCTGCAGTGAACACTGAGGACTTTTAAGGCAGGAATCTCTGGTCTTAAAGTTCAGCCCGTGGCAGAAGGACGAGGTTGGTTGCAGCTGGTCAGCTGCCAGCAACACGCAGTGGGAGCCGCCCAGAGAGTCCCAGCTGCTGAAGGCCCATAATCTGTAGGGTGAAGCCAAAGCCGGTGTCGAGGAGGTGCTCAGAAGTCAGAGCCAGAAGATCAAAGATCCGAATAGGTACTGAAAGGATGGTATCAGGAAACAATTCCAGGTTCAGTAAAAGTCCAAATCCAGCAGTAGTCCGAAGACGGGTCAAGGCAAACAGATCGAATAAGGACAGGCAGGCTCATAGGTCCTTGGGATCTGGGAGCTATGTGTTTCTGATTAGGCAATCAGAAACACACAGGAACGCTAGAGAACTCCACAGTCTCAAATATATTGGCTCTGATGACTGGTAGAAGGCGGGTTAAATAGAAGATGGATTAGATGAATGGTAAAGAGAAAGTGGGCGGAGATAGGTAGGTGAATGAAATTAGTCATCAGGCCAGTCATCAAAGCACAAGATCATGAGATTGGAACGTTGAGATTCAAATTAGAACAACACAGAAAAGAGCTTCCCCCACTGTCATCTCCCTGCAAGAGCGGCATGCAGGTTGTCAAATTAAGAGAAAGAATAATGTGACACAGCTATTTAGTGGAGACCATTCAGCTACAGGAAACAGCCTTTAAATACTTTCTAAGGATGCAGAGCCTTCTTATGTATTGTTGAGATTATTTCTGTTCTGCTTCTTTTCCTGACTTCCATGTTTGGACGCTCCGGCTCTTATACAAACATAAAATACAGAATACTGCCCTCTGTTTTGGCAACCCAGGAACCTTTCATGTAAGTGCCTCAGGAACCAAGAAGGAAAAAATTGGTCACGCACTATGGTGCTGTATTGTTACTTTTGAAAGCAGTGAGTGATGTTTATGGAGAAGTTGATTTTCACAATACATTTCTCACTCATTGCTCTTTTAAAAAAAGTTATCAAAATAGCAGAAATAAAACTTTATAATTATCTATATTCGTAGCAGGAAAGCTAAGCGGGCTGTATTGTTACAGACAGTGTTGGGCACGTTACTTTGAAAAAGTAATTAGTTATAGTTACTAGTTACTTCTCCCAAAAAGTAACTGAGTTACTAACTGAGTTACTCCACAATAAAAGTAACTAGTTACTAGTAAAAGTAACTATTGCGTTACTTTTGCGTTTCTCGCCCCCGTAAACCTCACCACCCAGCCCCCACCTTCTCACCGTGTGTTTCCAAAGCCAGCTGAATAGAGCGGACGACAAAGACAAGAACCTGCAGAGAGTTAAGCATTTATTGCAACTCAACGTAAATGACATCAGGGGGGAACGCGATGTAAAGTTTTATAACAGGACATTCAGATCCGGTGAGTATATGAAATTAATAACTGGGGATGTCTAATTCTGAAATCCTGTGTGTTTGGGTTGTTATAGATACTGCAACATCTATCTATCTATCTATCTAGATGTATACTCTGTGTGTGACATAAAATATGGATCTCCATCCCTGCCACAAAGGCCATCAAATAATGTTTAAAATAAAAAATACAGTAGGTTGAGAAGGCAGAGTATCCATCCATCCATCCATCCATCCATCCATCCATCCATCCATCCATCCATCCATCCATCCATCCATCCATCCATCCAGATTTCTCCCTTTCTCCATATAGGCTATCATTTCTGGCTGTTGTCAGGTTCATTTGATCGTTCACGCTCTCCATAGTTCTCCTGTGGCGCGAGCACAGAGCGACTGTTGCGCGCCTTTAGCGAGCATGCGCGTTTCATGTCGCTTGCGCGGTGACTCTTGCCGCCTGCGCTGTGTGGAGATGCAGAGGAAACCGTTATGTGATGGGGAAACGCAGCTCTACGGTATTTCCATGTGGAAAACGCTGTTTTGCTGCTGGAGTCATCATCACTCTCCATCTCTCTGTGTGTGCTGTACGTTAACACCCACCAGCAGAAACACCAACCTATTCAACTGACAGACGGATTCTCATCCTCCCCTCTCTCATGACAAGGCGCGCACCTCTGGATGACCTAAAATAAATCTTTAATATCTCTTAAACAAAAGTAGCACAAACAATATTTTTTTCTGCACAAATCTGCACTAACGTTGCACTAACCATTCAGTCTATTTGCAGAGTTTTTTGACGTGGGTGGGGTGTCAGCTTCACGCAGCTGCGCACGAGTCCTATCATGAAAAAAGGTTAATTGTGCGACCTGAGTAACGCGCAGTAACGGGGTGTCTGCAATGGTAACTGCGTTATAGTTACAGTCAAAGTAATTAGTTAGATTACTCGTTACTAAAACAAGGTAACGGCGTTAGTAACGCCGTTAGTTTCAACGCCGTTAGTCCCATCACTGGTTACAGATGATCCAGTCTTTGGACTCCATATTATACTGAAGATCTTGGGAATTATGCTGCTCTGCAGTACGGTTGTCATCTTTGAGTGGTGAGATGATCCTTTATTAATTTTTTACTTTGCAGCTTCAGTTATGTTGTGGTGTTTAAATAAAAATTATTTTTCTTTCAGCTGGTTCAGATTCTCTAACAAACCAAAGAAGGTAAGCCAACACTGCCCATCGCCTGTATGCTAACAGAGTCAGATTGTGAAAAACATAACTATTCTGGCTACATTAAAAACTTTCACCAAAGTTTACATTAAGGGAATTTTGAATTTCCTGTTTAAGTCAGATTTCACATTAAAATATATTCTCAACAGCAGTTATGGTGGTCACACAGTTAGCATCAGCCATTACTGCCCTCTGAGCCGAAGTGAAACACTTGACTGGGTGTTCAAGTTCATTACCCAACTGACAAAATACTGCCTCTTGCAGATTCCTTATTGAACTGCATGTAATTTAAATTGTTTATCATTCATAGTTACATATTTTCCCTGTCTACATAAAATAAACTATATATATAAAATCTGTGAATCAGGAAATTGTCTACATACCAAACTGAACGAATGTTGTTCTCTACTTAAAGGGGAACGCCGTTTTTTTTAAATTGGGCCCTTGATTTTACGTTATTACATCATGTTCTACTCACCCATATGAGTTTTGTGTCATTTGAAGCCGTTCTGAAGATATTCCTTTAGGTTATATCCAAGTAACGTCTTCCTATGGTCAGTCGACTTGAAGACACAAACTAAACTGTTCATAATTTATTCTTTATGGTACGCCAGCATTCAGAACATGGAGGCGAATCATGTCCCCCAGACATCCACGGTTATGTTCTTTATATTTATGTGTTTCAAAAACAAAGCTGCGCGTGTATTGTTCATCAATGTATGTATTAAAACGTGATTTTCAACTTTTGGGTGAATGGATTAAACACAACTCTATAGAATTTGTTTTTAACAGATTTTTTAAATTTTGGTATTTTATTGATAGATTTCATTTTCTAAGCACTGTAGGAGTTGCAACAAAGCCATTTTTAAGCCTTAGACAAAAAAGGTTTGTTGAGAAAGTTTGGCCCCCTGAAAACATGGAGTGCCTCCTCTTTTCCATTGGCAGAACCTTCGTTTTTGAAGCAGTTCCGAGTCCGTGCCACAGAATGTGGATGCTTGTTTATGAGCTGACGCCTGTTTTGACTAGTTAAAGGGTGTGTTCTATTTCTGCGGCTGCGTCCTCCAAGGACCCGGTGTACCTGGACAGAAAAATGCCAGAACATCTCCGTATTTAATACTCTTGTAACCTGCACAACCTTTTGACCTGCACACTTCCTCTTGTAACTCAACTTCGTCCATGTGCACACTTCATAGAGTGGCGTAGAGTTTTCTGTGAGCTACGGGATAAGGCAATAGTGTTAGGCAAGACACACGTTCATAATTTTACACTTATTCAACATTGCCGCTATGTCGGCGTCCATTTCACATTAGCATCCTAGCAAAAACCCATCAATATTTCAAATACTGAGTCAAAGAGGTAGAATGATAAGCATTGAAATGGCAGTTTCCAGACGTCATACTTCATCTTTTGAAATTGAGAGGGTCTGTTGGCACCTTCCCTAGCTGGCTTACCTTATACTGCCCAATACCCCCACCACCACCGCACCTACACGCTCACACATGCACGCACACACACACACACACACACACAAACAGCTGTCACTGGTCTGTTGGGCCTGGAATAGATCACCAGCTGTTTGGGTTTATTCCTGAGTCTCCCTAAGTCCACTATGCCTCCAAAGATGCTTCATCATACAATATGTTGAAGAGACATTTAAACCAAACTCAACACTTACAAACTACAACTTCATAAGTTATGAAGCAATGAACAATTGCAGTATCGTATCCAGTTCGAATAAAATTAAAGTGAAAAAGTCTTTGTATTTCTTTCAGAATTACTTTGCTCTCAAATAAATTAACAGAACCCATTTTTTTTTATTTTATCTCCAAAGGAAAAAGAAGACCAAATCTATGTCAACACTGTCACAGAGACCAAACCATGATGTGAGCCCGAAGGTGACCAGGAACATCGAGCCTCCTTCAGTTTCTTATTTCTATTCATGATTCTATCTTATTGTCCAGTTGTTTACTTTCAGAATGTTAAGAGGCTGCATATTATCTGCTGAGGCCAATAATTCATTTCCGATTACATTAGAAACCGGTCATCATTGTTTTAGCAGAATCAGAATTAGACATACTTTCATAATCCCAGAGGGAAATTACTTACCACCAAATTACTTATCACCATATATCGTGCAATAAAGAAATTTCTTATTTATTCTTGAAGCTTGTTTCTCTGTTTAAATGTTTTGTTCTTTGAATAAACAATGCTTTGGTGCATCAGTGAGTTAAAAAATTAGGTCTATAAATGCTAAGAAAGAGGTTTTAGAAGTAAGACAAAATGAATGCTAATTTTCTTTCCCTTAACTGTGTTTTTGAAAATTTAAATATTTTTTTTGTTTATTAATGCAACATTAATACTTGTATGCTATTTGTAACAGATTCTAAAAATTTGCTCCACATATTTCCACTTCCAGCATATAGATAAAATGTGAGGCAAGAAAACATTCTGTCTTTTCTTTCCCTTCCAGATGTTTAAATGAATAAATCTGATGTCTTGTGAAAACTGCAATCTGTTGTCTTTTGTTGTTCACACAAGATACAAGCATTAAATCCTTCCCATAAATGCAGGACACTGGGATGAGTAAATGTTTTAATACAGATAAATTCAATTCACTTTATTTATATAGCACCAATTCAGAACACATCTGAAGGCACATCACAGAGACAATTCAATCAGATAATCCAGTCAAATTCATTCAAAGTTTTCTATCTAAGGAAAAACAACTGACTGCATTGACTCATTGGTGAGATAAATATTATTTCAACCAGTCTAGTTTGTCAGCCTAGTGCTTATTTAATTCCTAAAAACTGAAAATTAAAAGAAGAAGCGGTGCACGTAAAGTTAAACAAAGTCGTCGGACAACATTCGGAAATTTATAAATGTTTTAAATCAGGTTGGGTCCAGATTAGCCAGCAGGTGGGTCCGGATCCGGCCCCCGGTTCGCTAATCCCTGACCTCTGGTCTACAGTATCAGACTGGAGGTGAACAAATAAAAAGATTTTGCTGTAGATCCAAAACTGCTAAAAACATTTAAAAAAAACAACTAGCAAATACAAAAAACACGACCGCATGCTCTGCAGAAACCCATAAGTGCCAAACGTTTAATTAATTCAAATTAAAGCATTTCTATTTGGAAGAAAATAAAATTTAAATTAGACCTGAAGTCTAATTTTTCATGATTTTTTAAAATCTCCCTAACCTATAAATCATAGTCATACCTGCTAAAAGAATTTACGTCATTAACAGTTCAGTTTGTAAGGGGATCTGAGACTAACTTTAAGTCCTTTGGGAAGGGAATGAAAAAAAGTGAATTAAATGTGTACATTTTTAAATACAATTTAATTAAATATTTTATTTAAAAAATGAGGTTTTCAGTAGTAAGTACTGAATAGAGAAAGTTTCATTTAATTCAGCTCCTAGTATTTAATCTCTTTTCTTTTTTGTTGAAGGCACTAATGGTTCATTTTTATGGACAGTAGGCTGACAGGAAAGGGGGCATGAGAGAGGAGACATGCAGCAAAGAATCACAGGCCAGATTCGAATCCAGGTCACCCACATTGAGCACTAAGGCCTCCATACATGGGTGTGTACGCTAAACACTGCGCCACAAAAAAATGCTGTAGTAATTAAAATCTTGTAGTTTTTATGGGAATGTGGAGTATCAGATTAATTTGAGGACTTTTGATCCCTCATTTTATTCTAACAAGAAAGACATGCTGATCTTGGTCTTGACTCTGTCTTACCCCGCCTTAGGCTTGCTTAAAAAAACCTATAAATGGGTTATAGGTGAACTTTAAAGAGGTTAAAGGTGAAAGAGGTTGGTGGCAGTGGCAGTAGGAATTGTCTTAATGCCAGAATGAGACCAACAGATTTTATTCTCAAAAGTGGAGCATTTGTGCCATAGTGCTCTGCTTGATTTATGGTGTAAATAGTTTTATTATGGTGTACGAAGGGAATAATTCATGGTATGTGGACATTACAAAAAAAAAAATTTAAAAAGAGAGAAAGAAAAAGAAGATAAAAGATATATTGACAATACTTCATCAGTCTGCTTCAGGGGCGTTGCTAGGCACAAAGCTTTACTGGGGCACTGGCCCCCTAGTGCATATGCCCCTCCTTCCATACATAAATACAGACAAGCACACTGCCCCACCCTGATACATTCCTACCAAAATTACCAGTTGAGATATTAATGAGTGTAAGAGCATATTTGTTTTAACAAACATGAACATTTTCAACATTGCAGCTATAAAAAATAAGACATCACCAACTTTGACAAATAAAAAGTTTCCTTATACACATTCTGAAGTAATCATTAATTCCTAGGTTTCAGAGTTTTAGTTCAGGGGAAAGATTAACTCAACCCAAACTAAGTTTTTCTTTTATTTTTTGAGCATTAAAGTGTACCTCCTATTTTTCATTTTTGCAAAGCGGTCAATCACTAGACTGTGACTCAGCTTAGAAAGTTCTTCCTTTTCAACTGATAAAATAGCAAGATGATGGAGCCTATCTTGTCCCATTGTGCACCTCAGCCAAGTGTGGAGCCTTCTCAACACACTGAATGACCTTTCACAACTCCATCTGTTAATTGTGATTGTGAGGGAGGTCTAGATGACCTGCATTAGTGTGGGGAACATGGTGTTATCAAGCAAGTTGAAAACACACTGCATATCCTTGATGACAAGGCTTTCTTTTCAACCAGGAAAAGCTTTCAAACCATTTTGAATTAAATTAACGTTTTTTTTACTCCAAATTTGTGCTGGGGATGGTGGGACAACTTCACTTGTTTAGGACCATCATGCTTTCCCCCTAAGTCACTAATGTCCCCTTCTTGTTTGTGGAAGCTGGTTGTTGCTCCCTCATCACCTTCATGGTCCTGTATCTCCTGTCCTTCACCTGTCTCTTGCCTGTCAGTCTCGCCTCCTCCTCCCTTTCCTACTCCAGCACCTTCATTCTCATTCTCTACAGCAAACATTAAAAAACGTAAATTTATTATTATGCAAATATCTATCATATTGCTTATAACGTTGCTAATGTAACTAGTTAGCTTAAATCACTAATTCATCACGGGACCTTACCTCCCTCTCTCATCTTGTTTTACTGCTTCCCTGTCTCTGCTTCGTGTGAGGAATTTCCTGATATCCATCTACAAACCAATGCAGTAATTTTCAGTTAGTAGCCTATAAATCATGTGGTTTCACTGGGAAAATAATAAAATTGACAGGTAAGAAACGTTACCAGAACTAAAAATGCGTCGTGGCCGCACAGTGTCCCATCCAAAACAGCTGAGAGCAGCGCGTTAGTTTACCTGCAGTTCATGCAGTGACAAGCGCTGACGTGGGGGCGCTAATACATCCTCAATTTGGAGTTAACAACACACTTGCTGCGCATTTGAGTAGAAATATACGTCTCCTCCCGTTGGAATTATCTAAATTGATGCATTAAAAAAATGTATCACTGTTGCAAATATTCATGAGATTTATACTGGGGCACAGCTCATTTATACTGGGGCACGTGCCCCAGTAAATGGGGTCTGGCGACGCCGATGGTCTGCTTCATCTGTCAGGAACTGGAAACCTTGTACCCAATATTCAAGCAGACAGATTTGGATGATTTTACACAAGTCTTTAGTTTAACAGAAAGCGTGCGGCAGCTCGTAAGCTGGAGTGGATTAACGGAACGGAAACTCAGGTCAGTGACTCAAAATTAAAGGCTGGCAATGACTAAGAGTAATAGTCACTGACCTGGTTCAGTCCAATCCCAGAGGAAGGTTATGAATCCAAGAGCCTGAGCCTGTTCTGTATCTGTGCGTGTCCGCCTGGTCATGCTTCTGGACTCCATCTGATTCTGGATTCTGAACCTCCCTGAGCGCTCTGAGGATTCCTGTAAGCCCGGATAACTCTGATCCTGTCTGGGTCAGAACCAGAGGTCATCTGGGTTTCATGAACTGTTCCTGCCTGCTTTGATCAGCTTCCTGCAAGTCCTCCGGGGCTACAGCAGTGGGGACACCCTGGGTGATGCGTACCACGTCAGTTGGCAGTCCAGCGGCCTGATTGGTCCTCTTTCAGGGATTGGACTGTTCTGTTAAACCAGGTAAGTGACTCACTCTGATAATCATCTCCTGTCAGATGATCGTGGTCACTTACCTGTTTCTCCCACAACCAGAGTGTGTGAGATTGGGCAGTGCCCCGCCCCCCTCCTGCAGTCGCCATGAGCCTTTAGCTCCTCAGCCCTGCGCCTTTGTACTGTCCTATTCTGTTTTTATTTTAATGAACATTTTGAACTTTTCTACTGGCTGTCTCACCTTGAAAACTGGGTTCATCTGTCCCCTTTATGACACATCTGTGAACAACTGTCTTTATCAAGGACACTCCCAGGAGACTTGGAATGTCTATTACCAGCCCCCAGCCCACTACTCCGGCTGAGGACGGACGGCTCATGGCTCTCTGCTAAGGTTTGGTCCAGTCAGCGGCCCAGCAGTCGACACTTCACACCCCCCTCCCTTGAGCCAGTAAATCAGTGGGCAGGTCTGTATGTCAATTTCGGCACGTGACAAAAGTACAGGCCAGAACCAAATAAGGCAATGTCCACAAATTGACATCAATTTGGTGCTTTGTTTGGATTTAGTTGTTTTATAGTGGAAGTTTAGAATTGTGAGATGTGCAGAGACAGGAGGTGTCGATGGGGTTTGAACTTCTCTGTATGGCCATTTCACCAACTGAGCTATCGCTATTCATCTATGAAAATGTAAACTCGGTTTTGCATTCTATGACCCCTTTAAAATGGGTCATCACAGTTTGGAAAAACTCGGTATTTCATGTGGGGTTCCCAAGGTACGGAAGCCGAGAGCGGTCGTACTAAACATTTTTTTCCCTTTTACTTCTCAAGATAATGACATAACTATCTTGTGATCATGGTTAACCAATTAATTGTTTTCAAGAGATAACAAGATAATTATCTTGTTGTAACGAGAAAACAGTTATTGATTTCTTCAGATAACGAGATGATTAACCTGCATGAGTAATGAATGAGTCTGGCTGGCCAAAGAGAAATCGCTGACTGCAGACCCCAGATTGAGGGGGTCAACAGCCCTGGATTCCAAGTCCCTCAATGCTTGTGGTGCCTGTAGTTGTGCAGTCGTTGTACCGTTTGTGCGCAAATAATCATTTTTTTAGTTTTTTATTTCTTTTCACTCAGTAAAAATTATGTACTTCAGGTCAAAGTACTTCTCACTTGTAAGGTCATGGTGGATGATGATTGGGTTGCATGGAATACAGTAGAAACAAATCTGAATGCTTTTTAATTAAAATTTTTAATCTGAAATAATTTTTGGAGTTAATGCATCTTATACCTGTTACAAGCGTAACACCAGGGTCGTTCAGAAAACACCCGGCGCTAAGGTGCAGGAGGCACAAGTTTAATTGCTTATGAATCGTAAGTGAAAGCTAATCATCAAACCAACAATGTTGTCTCATTACCTAAAAGTTGATTTAACTTGATTTACCATGTCCTTTTGGTCACGTAATTGTTTTATTTTCTTGGGATACTATAATTTTTGTCCAAGCCTGTTTCACCAATTCATTTTTTTAATCAATCCATTAAAAAATGGTAGAAAAAAATGTCTAACTTTCATTCTAACATTTCATAGATTTTTTTTTCCATCAGATTCAAGTTATTTCTGTTTACCAATGTGTACCAGTGCTAACATCAGTAAAAAAGTTAATCATCCTAATTTCCTGCATAGGAAGGATTTAATGCTTGTATCTGTAGTGGGAAAAAAAGACAGCAGAATGCAGTTTTCATGCTACATCATTTTTATTCATTAAAACATCTGTAAGAGGAAGAAAAGACACATAATGTGTTTTGCTTCAGATTGTATGTATATGCTGGCAGTGGAAATATTTGGAGTAAATGTTTTTTAAATACACTATATTGCCAAAAGTATTTGCTCACCTGCCTTGACTCACATATGAGCTTAAGTGACATCCCGTTCCTAATCCATAGGGTTCAATATGACGTCGGTCCACCCTTTGCAGCTAGAACAGCTTCAACTCTTCTGGGAAGGCTGTCCACAAGGTTTAGGAGTGTGTTTATGGGAATTTTTGACCATTCTTCCAGAAGCGCATTTGTGAGGTCGCACACTGATGTTGGACGAGAAGGCCTGGCTCTCAGTCTCCGCTCTAATTCATCCCAAAGGTGTTCTATCGGGTTGAGGTCAGGACTCTGTGCAGGCCAGTCAAGTTCATCCACACCAGACTCTGTCATCCATGTCTTTATGGACCTTGCTTTGTGCACTGGTGCACAGTCATGTTGGAAGAGGAAGGGGCCAGCTCCAAACTGTTCCCACAAAGTTGGGAGCATGGAATTGTCCAAAATGTCTTGGTATGCTGAAGCATTCAGAGTTCCTTTCACTGGAACTAAGGGGCCAAGCCCAGCTCCTGAAAAACAACCCCACACCATAATCCCCCCTCCACCAAACTTTACACTTGGCACAATGCAGTCAGACAAGTACCGTTCTCCTGGCAACCGCCAAACCCAGACCCGTCCATCAGATTGCCAGATGGAGAAGCGCGATTCGTCACTCCAGAGAACGCGTCTCCACTGCTCTAGAGTCCAGTGGCGGCGTGCTTTACACCACCGCATCCGACGCTTTGCATTGCACTTGGTGATGTATGGCTTGGATGCAGCTGCTCGACCATGGAAACCCATTCCATGAAGCTCTCTGCGCACTGTTCTTGAGCTAATCTGAAGGCCACATGAAGTTTGGAGGTCTGTAGTGATTGACTCTGCAGAAAGTTGGCGACCTCTTCGCACTATGCGCGTCAGCATCCGCTGACCCCGCTCCGTCAGTTTACGTGGCCTACCACTTCGTGGCTGAGTTGCTGTCGTTCCCAAACACTTCCATTTTCTTATAATACAGCTGACAGTTGACTGTGGAATATTTAGGAGCGAGGAAATTTCACGACTGGATTTGTTGCACAGGTGGCATCCTATCACAGTTCCACGCTGGAATTCACTGAGCTCCTGAGAGCGACCCATTCTTTCACAAATGTTTGTAAAAACAGTCTGCATGCCTAGGTGCTTGAATTTATACACCTGTGGCCATGGAAGTGATTGGAACACCTGATTCCAATAATTTGGATGGGTGAGCAAATACTTTTGGCAATATAGTGTATGTTACAAATAATAAAATAGGTTGATTTTATCATTAATAAACAGAAAATCATTTTTGCAAAATCAACACACTGTTAAAGGAGAAGTTCGGTTTTTTACACTTTAAGCCCATTTTCTGTAGTGTCCAGGATGAAATCGAATGATCGACACCAAAAGTTTGACAATTGCTCCTGTCTCTGCTTTTTGGCTCATTTAGAATCAACCCCTGGCTGCTTTAGAATGGCTAGCATAGAGCATGTCCGATAATGTCCTTAAAACAACCTTAAACGTTCTTTTTTTAAAATATGCTACTCACCGTGTCGTCAGCGCTGTTCAATGACGTTCCAAAAAAAGTTTCGTGAAGAAAAAACGTTCCTGTAGTGTTTTATTTAGCATTTTGTAAATCCCATTGAGTTCTGTAGGAATAGTCAATATTCCGCTGCCACCGGAAACGGAAATGGGGCCTGTTTACACAGTTGTAGTCTTTTCGCTTCACTCTGTGTACTCCGACGTCGAGAATCAAGAATCCACCTTTCGTATACCATTTTCAGAGTTTTTTAAAGTGTTTAACAGAGACGTTAGCACCTCGACGTCGGAGTACACAGAGTGAAGCGAAAAGACTACAACTGTGTAAACAGGCCCCATTTCCGTTTCCGGTGGCAGCGGAATATTGACTATTCCTACAGAACTCAATGGGATTTACAAAATGCTAAATAAAACACTACAGGAACGTTTTTTCTTTACGAAACTTTTTTTGGAACGTCATTGAACAGCGCTGACGACACGGTGAGTAGCATATTTTAAAAAAAGAAAGTTTAAGGTTGTTTTAAGGACATTATCGGACATGCTCTATGCTAGCCATTCTAAAGCAGCCAGGGGGTGATTCTAAATGAGCCAAAAAGCAGAGACAGGACCAATTGTCAAACTTTTGGTGTCGATCATTCGATTTCATCCTGGACACTACAGAAAATGGGCTTAAAGTGTAAAAAACCGAACTTCTCCTTTAAGTGAAAAAAATAGCATTTATCAGAAATGTCTCACTTCTCAATCCTGATTTTTTAGTATTTATAGGCCACATTTTTAACTCATTGATACACCAAAGAACAAAACACGTAAAAGGGAAACAAGCATCAAGAAAAAATTTGAATTTTTTTATAGCATTATATATGGAGATATAAAACAAGGATGACCTGTTTAAAATGTAACCAGCTATTTGCTATTGACCTTAGCAGATAATAACTACCCTGTTAACATCCTGAAAGTAAACAATTGGACAATTGAAATATGAATAGAAATAAGAAACTGACTGATGTTCCTAGTCACCTTGTAGCTCACATCATGGTTTGGTCTCTGTGACAGTGTTGACATAGATTTGGTCTTCTTTTTCCTTTGGAGAAAAAATAACGAAAAATGGTTTTGTTAATCTTTAGGAAGTTCATTTGAGATCAAAGTAATTCAGTAATACTTTTTGAGTTTCATTTTAATCTAACTGGATATGAAAGTGCAATTGTTCATTGCTTCATAACGTGTGAAGCTGTAGCTGAGCAGAGTGTGTAGGTTGTGAGTTTGATTCAAATGTCTCTTCAACATATTGTATGTGGAAGCATCTTTGGGGAAATGGTGGCCTTAGGGAAAATCAGGAATAAACCTAAACAACTGGCAATCTATTCCAGGCCCCATAAAACAGCCCACAGTATTAGGCAAGGAGAGATGCCAACAGACCCTCCCAATTTAAAAAGATGAATAGAATCGAGGAATGGAAACTGCCGTTTCAATGCTTACGAAGCACAGGAGAGAGCAGCTCTACCTCTCGGACTTTGTGTCTGAAATATTGATGAATTATTAACGTGGGTCTCACCTAACACAACCTCAACAACAGCTCTGTCTCATTACTGACAGTAAACCCTACGCCCCTCTATGAAGTGTGCACAAGGAGGAAGTGCAGTTAAGGGTTTGAGTGTGCAGGTTAAGAGTGATAAATAGAGTGCGCAGAAAAGAAGTCGAACGCCTGTTGTTGGAGATGATCGCAGATGGGTTTCTAGTGAGGGTGTGTGAGTTTATACGATTTACATTGTTCTCATTGCATGATCAGTTCGATAGCAGGAAGATTAAGCCATAGATGTTAAGCAGAAGAATACGAAATGCAAAGTTTGTCTGGAAATTGTCAGGACTACCCAAAGTAACACTTCCAACCTCCACCACTTACAGCACAACCATGCTGTTGAGTCAAAGATTTGTATAAGGCTCGATTACCTTTGTGCAAAAATGTTTACAAGAGAGGTAAGATTTTTCTCCTGTTCAATGAGACATTATTGAATGTTTAAACTTAAATGGTTAAAAGACTTTTATTTGTAATTACCAAAAAAATGTTATGTGATTTGGTCAATAAATACATGAAAAATAGATAAGTTATATTTCCTGCACATGCCATTATTTTCAGATAGAGGAGCTGGACTTTTTATCTTACATTTATTGTTATGGAGGTAAACTGCCCAGTTTATTGTGATATTGATTTGAGATCATATCGGCCAGCTCTAACTGCAACCAGCAGCCAATATGCAACCAGAGGGTAAAGACACCTTTTATGGACAGACTATTTACAGCACCAGACAGGTGATGCTGTGACGGTTTACTACAGGTTTATGACAGGCCATAGTTTATGACAGCAACAAGCAACATGTCAAACGACGAATTAAGGGTTTGAAAAAAACACTTTTTCTCCTACTACTACTATTACTACTGAAACAATTGCATCTTCCTGTGTCAAAGCTTTTGGTGTGGGTATGTAGCAACAGTAGACATCACATCCGTAGGAAAATGATGGAAATTAAGCCCCCGTATTGCAGCTTATTTTCGGTGTGCTCTTTAGTTTTGGTTTTTAATGCTTCATCCCCCTTTAGCATTAAAAAACTGACATGAATGTGCATACTTTCAATGCATACAGTCAATGGCAATGTTAGCTTACCTTCTTTGGTTTGTTGGAGAATCTGAACCAGCTGGAAGATAAAGCTTAATTTAAACACCACTACATAACTGAAGCTGCAAAGTATAAACAAATAGAGGATCATCTCACCACTCAAAGATGACAACCGCACTACAGAGCAGAATAGTTCCTAAGATCTTCAGTGTAATATGGAGTCCAAAGACTGCATTATCTGTAACAATACAGCCTTCTTAGTTTTTGTGTATGACTGTAGATAATAATAAAGTTATATTCCTGCTATTTTCATTGCTTTTTTTCTAAAAGAGCAATGAGTGAGAAAAGTATTGTAAAAATCAAACAGAATCATTCCTTTTTAATAATCAGTGTTCCTTAAACATTTCTTTCTGCTTTCAAAAGTAATAGTACAGCACTTCAGAGTGTGGCCAATGTTTACTTCCTGGTTCCTGAGCCAATTACATGAGAGGTTAATGGGTTACCAAAACAGAGGGCAATATTTTGTATTTTCAGGAAGAGAAGCAGACCAGAAATTATCTCAACAGTACATAAGAAGGCATAAGAAGTGGCTGAATCGTCTTCATTAATCATCCCGAATTTAGCTGTGTTACATCCTTTTATCTTTTAATTTGACAACCTGCAAGACACTATTTCAGGGAGATGACATGTCTTATGAGTTGTTCCAATTCAAAATTTAAAGTGCCAAGGTGCCATTATTACTAATGGCTCCTTTTGATACATTTAAAAAAACAAATAATTAAGAAATTTAGTAATTGTTCACTTGACAAAAATTAAGTTTAAACCTAAAACACAAACACATATTATCAATATAAGAGAACAACATGAACCAGAGAGTTCTTTAAATTCTCACCTTTAACACTAAGAAAGAGGATTGATGATCTCTGATTCCCTTGATCATTTGTAGCCTCACAGTAATACTCTCCATCCTCAGTGGCCCTGAAGCTATAAAAGTCACTTGTAGCTACCTTTTTGGTTCCATTTTTGGTGCTCCTGAACCAGGTAAAGTTGGCAGGAGGCTTGGCTCTGCTGGAGCAGCTCAGCTCCACCCAGCTACCTGCTGACACCAAACCTGATGGACTGATGGATGCTGAGGTGTTTCTGGGAGCATCTGAGGAAAATGAGACACACATGAACTTTATTGATCAGAAAAAGCTGAACCATGACGTGCTGACAGGATCACTAACATGAATCACTGAGAGTCACTTCTGTCTCTGCTGTCTTGCTTCTCCATTCATAGTGTATCTGGCACAACAGCTGATGTTGTTGTGCATGCCTGTTCCTGTTCTGATCTGTTTGCCTAACTTGTCTTAAGACTCCTGCTTGATTCTGCCTGTTAATCTTACCTAGAACTGATTCCTGTCAACTATCTGGATTTCCCTTCAGAAACTCTGCGGACCTCTGATACTTTTGGTTCTGAATCCAGAGCATGGCCTTGACACTGGCTTAGACTTTGCCCTTTGGATTGTCCTGCTTTCCTTCGTCTGCTTGGATTAGATCTTCTGCCAGTTCTGTAGTCTCAAGGCTTCAGTATCTGGAACTCTCTGTCCGGCAACCGCTTTGTCTTGTCAACCGACCGGCTGGATTCAACCTTGTTCTCTGGGCACAAACTGAACTATAAAACCATACATGTAATCAACCTCAGATTTACGTGGTCAATAACCTGTGTTTTCTTCCAGCAAGAGGTTCCTGCCTCAGACTCCCTAGCAGCTGTTACCGCAGATCCATTTTGAAATAAACGCTTTTTTAATAATCCCACTGTCTGTCTTGCCTTGAATACTGGGTCCTCTATTCTGAGCCGTGGCAATTTTTGTCACTGTGAACATTGAGACGGGTATTCCAGTATATGACAAGTTTAACTTTTCATAGTTTCAGGAATTTCCCTTAAACATCTTATCTTATTCATGTTTTCAGTCTGATTATTTAAACTTTGATGATTGAGTGTTAGAGAGAATCCTAAACATACATCATGTTTTTTTTTGTTTTGTTTTATTGACTCCGAGAGCTGGTAGTTCTTTTTTTTGGTCCCAACCTCTACTAGATCAAATTATGTCTACCAGTTTTGATAAATTACAATATCTGGCCAAAGCTTTCTTGTTTCTTTCAGTTTTGATCAAATCTGCTTTTAATTATAATTTTGTTGTCTCACCTCTTACCTGTTTCAATCCATTTAAGTTGGGAGTTAATTTTATTAAATTAAGAAAAAAAATGTGAATTAAATAAAACATTAAAAACCTAGAGAAAGTTGAGTATAACAAAACATACATGTACATTTAGGACAATTTCTATTTGCATGCAACAATTACTGATGGTATTGCCAGTGTTGTGCTAGTTCATAATAAAAAATAATGAGCTCAAAGTTCTGTTCACATAAATGAAAGGGAAGTCGCTCACGTTCCTTTTTCACTCTTTCAAAAAAAGGAACCAAGTTCACAACCTTTATGTAACGTTACACTGTACCCACCACTAGAGTGCACTGTTTCAAACCAGTAGTATACTTGAAGTAAATTATATTAAGAATGCTGAAGTATAAGTTTAGAAAGTATACCAAATAATGTACTTTTAGTGTACTTGAAGTATTACTAAAGTAATACTTCTTTGAACTAAATTGGGAATTTGTTAAGTTTACTTAAGTATACTTAAAGTATACTTTAGTAAACAATAAAGTAAACAATAGAATAGTAAACTCTAAGTGCAGTGCCTGATTTTAAGTATGAAATTAGTGCATTTTTAGTGTACTTGAATAAACTACTTTTTGCTAAGGGATCAGCAGGAGAAGGGGTTTCATTTGCAAACGATTCATTTGAAAGAAGGGTTACCGGAGTGCGTTTCAGGTGGAACATCCTGGAAGCAATCATTTCAATACATCAATGGACAGTTGGTGTTCCCTTAGGGGACATTGTGAATGAGGATGCTTGTGGACTAGGTTTTTAAATCATAATTTTAAAACAATAAGTACAGTAAAACAGTAAATAAACTAAGACTCAATTTTAAATTAACTTTAACTCAGATAAGTTGAGTGATAACTGAGAGGAAAAGTATGAAACATCCTATCCTACTTCCTATTCCTTTAAGGCTTTGTAGTGGGAAAAAAGTATTCAACTATTTACGCTAGTTAAATAAACAGAGATCCATTGATTTCACTCGGTCGGCATTTTATTTACGGTATATCATTGCAAAGAGTGAACAGTTCATCATGCAGCCCTTATGGCACAGCATTCAGCCCTGTTCTGCCTGGACCACGTTCATTCCCCTTTACTTACAACAATGGAAAGTAGTCAGAGTCAAAACAAATTACAGACACTTTGGATAACAATAACACGTTATGAATAAACCTTGAGAAAGAATCTGGTCTGTTATGGGAAGAAGCTACACTATATTGCCAAAAGTATTTGCTCACCCATCCAAATTATTGGAATCAGGTGTTCCAATCACTTCCATGGCCACAGGTGTATAAATTCAAGCACCTAGGCATGCAGACTGTTTTTACAAACATTTGTGAAAGAATGGGTCGCTCTCAGGAGCTCAGTGAATTCCAGCGTGGAACTGTGATAGGATGCCACCTGTGCAACAAATCCAGTCGTGAAATTTCCTCGCTCCTAAATATTCCACAGTCAACTGTCAGCTGTATTATAAGAAAATGGAAGTGTTTGGGAACGACAGCAACTCAGCCACGAAGTGGTAGGCCACGTAAACTGACGGAGCGGGGTCAGCGGATGCTGACGCGCATAGTGCGAAGAGGTCGCCAACTTTCTGCAGAGTCAATCACTACAGACCTCCAAACTTCATGTGGCCTTCAGATTAGCTCAAGAACAGTGCGCAGAGAGCTTCATGGAATGGGTTTCCATGGTCGAGCAGCTGCATCCAAGCCATACATCACCAAGTGCAATGCAAAGCGTCGGATGCGGTGGTGTAAAGCACGCCGCCACTGGACTCTAGAGCAGTGGAGACGCGTTCTCTGGAGTGACGAATCGCGCTTCTCCATCTGGCAATCTGATGGACGGGTCTGGGTTTGGCGGTTGCCAGGAGAACGGTACTTGTCTGACTGCATTGTGCCAAGTGTAAAGTTTGGTGGAGGGGGGATTATGGTGTGGGGTTGTTTTTCAGGAGCTGGGCTTGGCCCCTTAGTTCCAGTGAAAGGAACTCTGAATGCTTCAGCATACCAAGACATTTTGGACAATTCCATGCTCCCAACTTTGTGGGAACAGTTTGGAGCTGGCCCCTTCCTCTTCCAACATGACTGTGCACCAGTGCACAAAGCAAGGTCCATAAAGACATGGATGACAGAGTCTGGTGTGGATGAACTTGACTGGCCTGCACAGAGTCCTGACCTCAACCCGATAGAACACCTTTGGGATGAATTAGAGCGGAGACTGAGAGCCAGGCCTTCTCGTCCAACATCAGTGTGCGACCTCACAAATGCGCTTCTGGAAGAATGGTCAAAAATTCCCATAAACACACTCCTAAACCTTGTGGACAGCCTTCCCAGAAGAGTTGAAGCTGTTCTAGCTGCAAAGGGTGGACCGACGTCATATTGAACCCTATGGATTAGGAACGGGATGTCACTTAAGCTCATATGTGAGTCAAGGCAGGTGAGCAAATACTTTTGGCAATATAGTGTATGTCTGGTCTACAAACACCCTCACCAGAAAATGGTGTGGCCTTACAGGTGATACAGACTGAGTGAAAACTTTTATAGTGAGTAAATTGGATAAATTAATATATGAAATAAGAGAAAAATAAATTTTCCGACAACAGGCGTCTTGATCATTTTTATGATAAACCACAAAAGATGAGACATTATTTTAGCAGATGCATCATGTGGACAGATACGTTTTTAAACACAGTTTAGAGAGTCAGTCAGTTAGAAACAACTCCTGTGTCGGTCACATGACTTTCTTGAAACGTCAAAAGCAAAGATACAATGTTTTGCTTTATGGACTCGACGCATCGGTGTTGCTGGACCCATCACTAATTCCGGGTATTTTTCTCATTTTGTGTAGATTTGCAGGGAAGTACTAATGCAGTTGGTTATGCTCTTTCCTTGTTTTGGCCGTTTTGGTTTATTCACTTTGATAATTTAGGTTCTAAGTTTGGCAGTTTAGAAGAGATATAAACCTTATTTTTACCTCGCAAGAGTTCTTGTGCCAGCCACTTTGTTGTTTTGAGAAATGCGTTTCTGCTCAGTGTTTCTGTTATTATAAAACTAATTTACATTGCCCAAATGATATTGTTGTGTCTGGTGTCACCTTAATTTTACCAGCCCACATATAACTGAACTAATTCCAGTTAATGTTGTAAATTAAACCCAAATACTACAATAGAACTTCACATTTAACCCTTTAAATGTGTGATCATAATATAGAGAGAAACTGAAAATACTTGATGCAGTCGAGGAATATATATACACGAGGTAGCAAAATTAGACAGAACTTCTAAAACACACAAGTACATTCAGGTTCCGTGGAAAAGACCTGCATCCAAAATTATTTTTTACGTTATAATTCAGTGGCAGGTTTTTCCCAAGATAGCTTGGATGCTTTAAATCAATGTATCACTTTAAAAAGTAGACAAGGCCGACATTTTTTGTGACGTCCCGTGGGTACAGTTTACACAAAAAGGTGAGTTTTTTTTTTGTCTGAGTCTTCCTTTGTTAGTTAATAAAATGCTACCAGGCGCTCTGCAAAACTGGCATCAGAAATACCAGAAGATGAGTCTGAAATGCGCAGACTACTACTAGCAGTAGACATGCTGGTTTTTCATGCTGTTAGCTGTAATAGGTGCTGTAAAACCTGCCGTTATACAATGAAAAGTGTTGTTATCAATTGAACGGGAAAAAGAGCTGTGTGTGTCGCTCATTATTCTCAGAGTGAACGTTGCTCTTGTTCATGTTCATCACTTCAAAACTGGTCCATTTGGTTCACCGTTCACTAAAAATATCAACGTGTCAGTAAACGCAGTTCATGTACAATACTCGGTATTGCTCTGTGCTTCTTTCAACAAAGTGCTAGCTATAATGTGAGGCAATGAAAATCTTAAAAAAAATAGGAATAAATATAAATCAAGAAAAAGTTTACCTTTATCATCAAAACAGGTCCTTGACAATGTATTGTTTCCTAGATGATTTATAGCCTTATAACACTCTCCTCTCTCAGCTACATTCATGACTACATTTGTGTCGTTTCAGAACCAGTTGAAGCTGGCAGGAGGCTTGGCTCTGCTGGAGCAACTCAGCTCCATCCAGCTACCTGCTGACAGCAAACCTGATGGACTGTTGGAAGCTGAGGTGTTTGTAGGAGCATATGAGGAAAATAGCGGGAAACACGTTAACTTTATTGATCAGAAATAATGGAAACATGATGTGCTGATGGATAACTTACATGAAACATTGAGAGTCACTTTTGTCTCTGCTGTCTTGAATCCTCCATTGACAGGATATCTGGCAGAACATCTGATGTATCCCTCAAGTGGGTCTGACAGAGTGATGGTCTCCTGGATTTTAGTTATAAAGGTTCCATCTGGGTTTTTCTCTGTTTGTTTCTCAGAGACTTGTTGGAGATTCCAGGTGAGTTCAGGAGGTGAGTGTGGACAGGGAGTCACAGCTGAGCAGCTTATAATGACAGACTGATGCTCGTTCAGATCACCAACAGAGATTTTAATGCTGGGACTCCAAGGAGAATCTGGGAGTTCAAATCAAATAGACAGTTTACTAACTACATCAAACCTACAGTATTTATAATAAATGCTCAAGGGTATACACTGCAATATAAAAAAAACAGAGTGGTGTCCATTTCACAAAGCAGGTTTACTAAACCTGAAATTAGGGAAACTGAGATTTCTGTTTTACAAAGAGAGTTTAGCCAATCTCTGTTTCTGTTACCATAGTAACATTCTCCCCAGAGCTAACCTGGTTCAGGATCAGGTTTGGTCCACCCTAATTACTATATAGATCACTATGTACATTTTAAATGAGTGTCCGAACATCTAGTGTTTGAAAAAGTAGTGGACTCAAAATTTCCCACAATGCACCTTGAAAAATAGTGATCATCCATGGTCACTAGATGTGCAGATATATCCAGGAATGCTTTGCGAGATTTTTTTGCAAATATTTACTGTGTTATGTGAGACAAGATCAAAATAAGAAGGAACCCCATGAGATTATGCACAGGCCTTATATGTTTGAACAATGTTTTTATACTCCATCTTCACATGCTCGCTTCTACCCAGTGAGATTGCCCCAAAATATATTTCATTGATACACTGCTATTAAACCAGTAAGGTAGTTACCCCTGAAATGTTATTATTTCAGCAGGCAGGCCATATTGATATGTATTAGTTTGAGTTACCTGCATACTTTTTACTGTATTTTCACTCAACCTCCAAATGACACAGCAGACTCAGTGTCATAATCCATATCAGACATGATTGTTTTGGATTACCTTGACCTCTGACCTCATCTCTGACCTTTTCCTATGCCTTTGATTTACCTGGATACCCTGATCACTCAGCTCTGACCCTGTGCATGTCCCTTGATCTCTGCTTATCTATCAGACTTTAGATCAAGGAGATAATCACCAGACACAACCCCTCAACAGGATCTTCGAACTACCTTACAAGTCGACTCCCAGATTGTGAGAAGGGTAGTGACCTTGGTTGTCTCAGCTGAAATTGACCATAGTCCCTGCCTGGTCACTAACCTTTCATTTCCACTCCCAGAGGGGCCTGTCTCCGATGCTGGTGATTCTTCCTTAAACTACCGCAGTCCGCCTTTAATAAAAACTGTTTAATAATATCAGTTGTCTGACTGTCTTTGGGTCCTCTTGTACAATTCTTAACACACAGCAGATTAAAAAAACATTTAACCAATAAGCGCTGAGTACAAAAAAATAGGTAAGTGTAGCAAGGATCTTCTGCTACGCCATATCCCTCTCCTTTACAGTTGCTCTTTTTTTTTTAAACATTCTAGATTTATTTTATAATTTCTGCATTAAAATCCCTAGTTTTCGGGTGTGAAATTTGAACCGCCTTCTGTCATGTTGACTCGTTGGATCAGGGCTACAATGATAATGGCTTTTATAATAAATCGAACATGTTCAACTTTGAGTGGAGCTTATCAGAGTTGATTAAACTAACTCACAGCAGCCACTGTGAAACCATAAGCTCAGAGTATCCAACCTCAGGCTAGATAAATTCAGAGTTGAGGATAAACCTTCTTTGTGAAACAGACCCCTTTTTACTTTTCTTGTATCTTAGTTTTCAGATTTAGAATCTTTTTTGTTTAGAAGATGAAAATATGCCCAGCTGTTTAAATACAGTAATATTGCTAATTTGCTGGGGGAAAATATAAAAAAAAAAACATGACATTATGTTCTCCAGATCCCTTAACTTTTTTTCTGACACCTTTTAAAGCTGTAAAAGACATGTACATTTTAAATATTCCTCATTGAAATGACCATTATATTACTATGTTAAGAACAAATATTCTTACCTTTAACTGTTATTTGCAGTGGATCATCACAAGCTGTTGCTTTAAACGGCTCATTTTCAATCCTGAAGAAGTATCTGTCTGCATAACTGGTCTTTAAATCAGGAAACAGAGTGGTGCAGTATTTCTCTCTCAGGTTTCCAGTAATATTCAGTGAATAGTTGTTAACTGACCCACTGCCGTTGAAAATTATTATATCTGGATAAGGCATGTAACCACCTTTCATCCAAACTCCATAGATATGTTGGCTACTGTTATATCTGGTATCCTCTGTATCATAGATACACGGGATTTCCAAACAAGATCCACTCAGAGCTTCAAGCTCCCTTGGTGTAGTGATTCTGAGGTGCGGTGTTATACCACAACCAGCCAAAGTACCTGTAAAAGAGACAACTGTTTTATATTTCTTTCTTTGCCTGCAGACAAACTTCATGTTCAATGAACAGGTCAGCTACAGCACTTTACATGTGGGGCCTTTAAATTATATCATGATCTAAAATTTCAGACCAGAAAAGACAAACAGCTCACCTGGAAGAAAGAAGATACTCAGTATCATGTTGACTATCAGCATGTTCTCAGACAGAGCTGCCATCAGATTCAGACAATCCTTCATTTCTTAGACTGGAAAAGATAAAAAAAGTTCCTTTTTTTATCAGTCAGCTTTGGATAACGCGTTACTTAGCTTCGGCCGTTACTTCGAGTTAAATATTCTGATATTTTTAGTATTTTCGCACATTCCAAGAGGTAGTTAAAATTTATTTAAAAGTAAAATTGCCAGTACAATAATTGACACTAATAATGCAAACTTATAATATATAACATAGTTTTTACCATAGAGGTCACACAAAATGGATAATTAAAAACATCTTACCTAATGAAGCTCTATATATCAAGGAATGTATCAGTTGGTGATCAGAAGATCTAAAGAGCAGCACTCTGCTTTAAAGCTGGTATTATGTAGAAGCCAGCAGCTGTATTTGTTGTTCCTTTTCTGTGAGAGGATGTTGGGTTAAGAATTTGCATTGAGAGTGCATTGACTGGTTTATTACAATAACTCCTTTACAGATGTGTGCTGTGTTCTAAATAACAAATGTAATAAAAAAAAAAGAAACAGTTGGAGAATTGTATATAACGATAATGTCTTCTCAGGTTAAAATAACCACTGTATTTGTTAACTAGGAATGCTTTTTACATTTACCTAAAATAAAGTTCATATCTTCTCCGTCATATTTGGTATAATTATCTATAGTCATTTAATTGATTGGGATTTATATATAGACACCCAATGGCAGGTGGTCTGAAGTTGTTTAAGATTATTACTTTTCTGTTGCACATATTAGCTTCCAATGCACAATATCAACTATGCTTTATTCTCTTTTAAAATTGGAGTTTAATATTTCACTGGTCCCAATGAATGCCTGGGAATACATCTAACCCCTATGAGGAAAATTAAGTTAAAAGAAAAGGTAGAAGGATAGGGTATCAGTAAAATTAGGTAAGGCTGCAATAGAAAAGGAGATCATGACAATACAACCAATACAGGTGCTGGTCATAAAATTAGAATATCATGAAAAAGTAGATTGATTTCAGTAATTCCATTTAAAAAGTGAAACTTGTATATTATATTCATACATTACATACAAACTCATATATTTCAGATGTTTATTTTGTTTAATTTTGATGATTACAAATGACAACAAATGAAAATCTCAAATTCATCATATCAGAAAATTAGAATATTGTGAAAAGGTTCAAAATTGATGGCCCCTGGTGCCACACTCTAATCAGCTAATTAACTCAAACCACCTGCAAAAGCCTTTAAATGGTCTTTCAGTCTAGTTCTATAGGCTACACAATCATGGGGAAGACTGCTGACTTGACAGTTGTCCAAAAGACGACCATCGACACCTTGCACAAGGAGGGCAAGACACAAAAGGTCATCGCTAAAGAGGCTGGCTGTTCACAGAGCTCAGTGTCCAAGCACATTAATAGAGAGGCGAAGGGAAGGAAAAGATGTGGTCGAAAAAAGTGTACAAGCAAGAGAGATAACCGCACCCTGGAGAGGATTGTGAAACAAAACCCCTTCAAAAATGTGGGGGAGATTCACAAAGAGTGGACTGCAGCTGGAGTGAGTGCTTCAAGAACCACCACACACAGACGTATGAAAGACATGGGTTTCTGCTGTCGCATTCCTTGCGTCAAGCCACTCTTGAACCACAGACAGCGTCAGAAGCGTCTTGCCTGGGCTAAAGAGAAACAGGACTGGACTGCTGGTGAGTGGTCCAAAGTCATGTTCTCTGATGAAAGTAAATTTTGCATTTCCTTTGGAAATCAAGGTCCCAGAGTCTGGAGGAAAAGAAGAGAGGCACTTCATCCACGTTGCTTGAAGTCCAGTGTAAAGTTTCCACAGTCAGTGATGGTTTGGGGTGCCATGTCATCTGCTGGTGTTGGTCCATTGTGTTTTCTGAGGTCCAGGGTCAACGCAGCCACATACCAGGAAGTTTTAGAGCACTTCATGCTTCCTGCAGCTGACCAACTTTTTGGAGATGCAGATTTCATTTTCCAACAGGACTTGGCACCTGCACACAGTGCCAAAGCTACCAGTACCTGGTTGAAGGACCATGGTATCCCTGTTCTTAATTGGCCAGCAAACTCTCCTGACCTTAACCCCATAGAAAATCTATGGGGTATTGTGAAGAAGAAGATGCAATACACCAGACCCAACAATTCAGAAGAGCTAAAAGCCACTATTAGAGCAACCTGGGCTATCATAACACCTGAGCAGTGCCACAGACTGATCGACTCCATGCCACGCCGCATTGCTGCAGTAATACAGGCCAAAGGAGGCCCAACTAAATACTGAGTGCTGTACATGCTCATACTTTTCATTTTCATACTTTTCAGTTGGCCAACATTTCTATAAATCCTTTGTTTTTATTGGTCTTCAGTAATATTCTAATTTTCTGATATGATGAATTTGAGATTTTCATTTGTTGTCATTTGTAATCATCAAAATTAAACAAAATAAACATCTGAAATATATGAGTTTGTATGTAATGTATGAATATAATATACAAGTTTCACTTTTTAAATGGAATTACTGAAATCAATCTACTTTTTCATGATATTCTAATTTTATGACCAGCACCTGTATATTATTAACAAACAGGAATTCAAATGCTTTTAAACCAAAGTGTTACCAATGTACATACATGTTTTACCTCACTTCTTTATAGGAGTTTTATTATTTCTATATATTTTTTTTTTTTTTTTTTGGTTTCTTTTTACTTTGTTAGAAGTTTCTTAAATTTCTCAAAATACACTTTTCATATCCATCCATCCTTCATCTCCTGCTTAAGGGTCACCCGTGATGTTAAGTGGTATAAACCTTCAGGATCGTGGTAGGGCTGGCGTCATGTTTTAGCATTGAGAACCCGATGATTCAAGCCAACAGTGTATGATGTTTTAAGGTTTCTTATTTGAAAAGGGTGAGGATGTTGCGGACAAGAGGAATTTAGGCAGGCCCTGGAAAAGAACAGGACTGAGCCCGGCAGTTAATGCAGAGGCAGACTAACTGGAGTAGCCAACAGCATCAGCCTAGACTTCAGTTGGGAGTAAGGATAAGCCTTTGCTGACTCTGAAGAGAAGATCTGCCACTGGTAGAACCTGCAGTGATGGGTCAGACGGGGCCTGAAGATGAGGCTGAATGGCAGGAACAGGAAGAGTAACACACTTCTGGGGACATATACTAACTTACTAACTTCCAGGCAACATATTTGTTTGTTATACATTATAAATACTCTAAATTAATGTTTGAAAGGTGAGTAAAATGATTAGATTTTACATAGGCTTATTTCATTTTCAGGCTAATTCTAATGTATTTGAATTTGTAAGCAGTTTTTTCAGATTTTGAAAATTATTTTAGTAGTTTCAATCTGATTGATTGAATTTGAATTAAAAAATACTTGACTTGAAAGGAGTCAGATATTCATTTGCAATGTTTTTTAAGGTTTTGTTCCAAATCTTAATAGATTCATGGCCCAAAGATTTTCCAAAGTAAAATCAAAGAAGTGGCATACCATGACTATGAAGCTGATCCCAATGGGAAATTAGTCCCTAACTATATAGACGCCTTACAGACTAAAACTGGTAGTTGGTTCCACAGGAGAGGTGCCTGATAACTAAAAGATCTGCCTCCCATTCTACTTTTAGAAATTCTAGGAACCACTAGTAAACCTGCAGATTGAGAGCAAAGTGCTTTGCTAGGGACATAAGGAAAAATCTGATCTCTAATATAAGATGGAGCTTGGCTCTTTAAGGCTCTATACAGTATGTGAGGAGAATTTTAAATTCTTATTCTTGATTTATAAGCAAGCCAATGAAGAGAAGCTAGGAAAGTCAGAGGGCACTTCCCTGGGACTGAGGAGTGTTATTACAGCTTCACCAGCTGTTCTCAGGTGGAGGATTGATTTCCCCTAGTGACCAATCTGTGTAGTGCCCTTTTGCATGGCCCATGGTGGTGTGAACGTGTCAGCACACTTTGAATTTCCCAGGTAAAGGCACACTTTTTCCCCTTGCGGGTCGCTCTTTCAATTACAGTTATATCTTGTTTGAGGAATTTACTGTCTTTGTTGTGGAGAAATTGTGCTTAAGGGTTAATTGTAGAGTGGTAATTTTAAACTATAGGTTTGAAACCTGAGTTAATATTACAGCTATACCACTTCTGAGGGGATATCCAAACAATGCATTTGTTCTTTTGTGTGTTAGTTGTTGTTTCACAGTTGTTTAATACACATGCATTATCACATTCAACAAATTCCACTTGCCAAGAAGTCAGTGATCAAATCATCCATCAGAAATTTTTAGAAGTTAAACACAGCAATGTAATTTATCTGAACCTGATTAAGAGTAAGTTGCTTGTTAAAAGATAACCTGCACAACATAATTGTCTGCATGTATTGTACACCTGTCGTATAGGTAGACAGACATACAGCAAACCGAGTTTTTCAGCTTTTGTGCGTGTAGTGCTAACAGGATAAGGGATTTGTAGCCTGTGTGCTACGTTTCCTGCTTCATCCTCCCCTAGTTGAACAAAATGGATAGAGAACGGGATAAGATAGTAGTGGGTGTATCTGTGACTTCCCTAGAGATGGAGTCCCAAGCTTCAATTAGCTCAGTGATCTCTTTTTCCAAAGAAGAGAATAGAGCATTGAAAAGTCTCAGTATAGAGGCTTGTGAAAGTGAGATTAAGAAACCGATTGAGTCAACTAGGAATCCAAGAAAAGATCTGCTGGTTGCTGATATGTTTGGTCAGCTTGCCTTGCTCTATCAGAGAAAGTCTAAGTTAGAAATAGAACTGTCTGAAGCCTGAAGGGAGAATTAGAAGGGTGGAAGGGAGTAGAAAGGCAACATTTACCATTCTGGACAGACGGCGAAGGACGGAAGCCCCCTGGCCACAGGCTGGAGGGTCAGATGAAGAGGAAGAGAGTGAAACCGTCCCTATGTTAGAGAAGTAGGTGGACAAAGGAGTTCCTCCTCAGGCAACCACAGAGCTGAGAGCTAGCATGATGGAGCAGGAAAGGTTTAGTAGTGCAGTGCGCAGTTCCAATAAGCAGAACAGCCTCAGACCACAGAGGATGATTCACCTGACTGGCACGTATAGTTCGTTTTACAGAGCAGTGCAGGTTGTCAACCTAACTAAGAACACTATCAGATATGAAACCCCTTTTCCACAGAGATAGCAGGACAGCCATCTATGGGAATTTCCCTCCTACCTTGATAGGATTGGCTAGAGTTGTCAGATGATGATTCAAATGGACCAGTGCTAATCCCAAAACAGGGCTTATGAACCTGAAAATTTAAATCCCTTGCACAAGCCATGGAGCGTTTTGATCACAGTAATCCTGAATCCACCATTGATGATTACACCAGAGAGACAGAGCATTGTCTTTTAGGTTTACCCAATCCCTACGCTCCGGAGAAATTGAGGCTGATCTGGAGAACCTCTTCAAGCTGTGTTTGTGTGTTCATGGAGAGCCTTCAGTACTATTCTTCTCTTTGCCAGAAATGCTCCTGGTTTGGGGGAAAAGCATACCTTAAAATCAAGTTTCTTCTACAATCTTCACAAGAGCATTAGGAATGAAGTCACCATGTACCACTGAACTAAAACTCTTTCCATGCAGGAACAGGAACAATGCTCAGATAGCATGCATCCGCCCCAGTAAGGAACAGATGGAGATAACAGGGTTCTATAGATTCAGGCAGAACTAGGGAGAAGCTTGTTGGACAGACAAGAAGTTCCTCCCTCCAGAGTCAAGTTTAAAGACAATATGATGCAGGTCCACAAGAAAAGAGAGCATTCCATGTAGGGATGGGAATCGAAAACTGGTTCCTGTTCAGAACCGGTTCCGTGTGTTCCAATTCCATGGCACCATTTGGCAGCTCACTTAATGATTCTCTTAATGGTTCCAGGCAGCACCAGAGCTGCTCTGGGTAGCACGATTTACGTCACATTCTTTAAGGAAGTTACACACAGGCATTCAATAAGCAATCGAAAGTTTGATTTCATTTTAAGGAAGAGAAAGATGGCAACAAGGCACTTTGAAATCATTACAAAGTGGCAATTGCATCCCTGGGAGGAAATACACCCTACATGCAGAAACACCTGCGCACAAGACATGGCATACATTTTAACAAATGCCATGTTTATGATGCTTCCGGACAGAGGCTAAAGTTATGACCAGCATGGAAGGCAACTCTGGTGGTAAGCAGCTAGTTTTATACCACTGGCTTTGCTTAATGTGGTCCCTAGTAAATCACATTCCATTTCTGGAAATAAACCAATTTCGTACCTCACTTTGGTGTTATTAAATATGCTACGAAGTTGTTCTGCAGTTCAGGAAGCAAGAGAAAGACCCTTGTTTATTTAAATCAGGGGAGGATGAGTTTATTTCACGAAATTGTACAGTAATGCTTTTCCAATCAAACGGATGCCTTCTCCATTAGATTTAGATGACTGTGACGAGACGGGTAGCCTGGCTGGCTCAGAGGCTGGCAGCTCCCGTTCACTGCCTTTTGTTTTCCCTGAGGCAAGCAGAAATAGAATGTCCCAGGTGAAGGTAGACGAATGTCACCGTGCTTTTACCAAGTTCATTGTTTCACAGAATCAATAGAAGAATCAATAAGGAATTTAATCGTTTCACAGTATCGATAAGGAAATCGGAATCATGAAAATCGTATCAATTCCCAACCCTATTTCCAGGATAGGAGGAGTTGACAGAGTAGGGAATAGAGTGGTTTCCAAACAAGGAAATCAGAGATGAGCCGAGACAACAGACAGCCTGACCAGAGGAAAACCAGAAAAAAATTGTCAAAAAGAAAAATGTTATTATAATTAAAATAACTTCCTCGAAATGTCTTCAAACTTGAAAAACCAAGTCTAGTGGTGTGATGGTAACGATCAGAGTAAACAGACTGAACAGCCAGTGATGGAGATGGAAGCTATCCTCCACAGGTTGTTGGCAAAAAGCGGTTTGTCAGATCCCTCACCCCTCTCAACCACCACCTGATGATAGTGATCCTCCTGAGAAACCTGACCCGAAGCACAACACAACTTGGTATGGAAACTATCCTCCACCACTTCCTAATTCCACTTAGTGGAAAAAGAAGGTTGATCTGGTAAACCCCTTGAATCTTCCCAGATCCCACTGGAAAAGAATTCCATTTTGGTTCAACTCTTTTCAGAGAAAACTGTATTGAGTGTGTTAAATCCAGGTAAACATGCACTAAACCCTTAGGATTTCAATTTTAATATTCCAAATTTATCATATTATAAACTGGTTTCTTGTGAAGAGCAAAGGACAGCATATTCATATTTCTCATAAAACATATACAATTAAAATGCACCATATCTCACAGAAGTGGCAAAATTAACATGATATTCTCTAAAGTTGTCATAAATATGTGCAGGAAAAATTTGGCTAATCTGGAACCAGCTTGATGAAAGACTGAATCCTCTTTATCTGCCTTTAACTGATTCGTGCAGCCACCACAGGCACACTTGGCTTATAGGTAGGTACTGCAATAAATTCTTGTAAATTCTGATAATTTAGAGCTAAAATGCATGCCAAATAGTCCTATTAATTAGCTGAAGTTGGATAGGCCTAATTCTATGGACAACTTCAGCTGCTTAAGGCTGGTCTCTCATCGCTTCCCAGCTTAAGGATACACTAAACTAACCACCAAATCCCTCCAGTAAGGTCTGTGCTCACTGGACCGAGTCAGACTACTTTTTCCTGCAACTCAGAAGGAGCTGGTCATAGGGTTTTGTTTTGTTTCCTGTGATTCAAAGCAAGACGAACGCAGTGTTTTATGAAACTGCCTGCAGCAGAGCAGAGGAGAGCTAATCCAGATCTTAGTCTGTTTTTAAATTTATTCCTGTCTTTTGATTGAAAATATAATTCCTGTTTTAGCAAGCCCTCCTTTCCTCCTGCAGCTTCTAACATTTTGCATCAGAAACATTAGAACATTTTTAATCAAGGTTAACATGGTCCAACTGAAAAGACAGGATCCAATCCATTTTTAACATGGAGAGTAATTTTCATATCAAACATTTTAAACAGGAATACTCTGATATTGAGGTTTAACAAATAATTGTCAGGCAATGTTTCTGTAACAAAATCTCCAACAGCTCTGACCTTTGCCAGAGGCTTGTAGAAGTTCTAGAGTTCAGAGTTCCCTTTCAGACAGTGTTTGAGCCTGGGTGATGGAGCTCAGACATTGAGCCATAAAAGAGTCTCCAAACCATTTTTGAATTAATTTCCATTGTGTATAACTACCCCCCAAAGTAAACAAGTTACTCATCCTAGTTGTCTTGCATTCATAGAAATTTAAGGCTTGCATGTGTTGCAAACAACAAAAGAGATAAACAAGTAAAACAAGAAAATCAAATATATTTTTTTGTGATCATGTTTTATGCACATGTCTGCACTGGAAATATCTGGAGCAAAATTTTACCATCTCTTAAACATACCACACAAACCTAATTGTAGCATTAAGACAAAGACAATAAAAAAAAAACTCTGTTGAGAGGAAATGTTTTGTTACATTCATGAGAAATTCTGTCTCACTTCTAAAAGTCTTTTTTTTTTTTTTTTTACAGGCCACATTCATAATTCATTGATGCAAATGAATGATCCCAAGTGGTAGCATTTTATCCATGAATAAAATATGCAAATAGAGAAATAAGCATCAAGAACTACTAGGTAATTTTTATAGCATGATATATAGTGATATAAAACACCAGTGATCTGTTTAGAATGTAACTGCCATTACTGTAAGCTATTAACCTTGGCTAATAATAATAAGCCTTTTAACTTTCTAAAAGTAAACAATCAAAAAAATTAAAGCATGAATAGAAAGAAGACACTAGCAGAAGCCTTGGTATTTCTGGTCACTTTGAAGCTCATGGTTTGGTCTCCATCACTGTCGAGATAGGTTGGGTCTTCTGTTTCTTTGAAGATAAAATAAAAACAAAATTGTTCTGTTAATTTTTAGGACATTTATTTTGGATTAAAGTGATTAAGAAAGAAATCCAAAGCTCATAGTTTAAAAAATTCTAAGACTTATAGTCACTTTAATTTTAGTCTAACTGGATACCAAACAACATTTGTTCATCACAGCAGAGTTTGTTGTGATTTTCATTCTAATTTCTCCCCAACATAATATGTTGAAGCACTTGCTAAATAAACATACAATTACTTAATAATACTACAAATCCGTGTATATGTGTGAGAAAATATGACTGTATGTGGTCTTATGCAATGTTAGATGTCAATAAATGCTATAAATCCTGACCATGATAAATGTATGTCACTTAATGAGGATCTGCACTGCAAAATGAAATGTATAAGATTTCCAGAATTAAATATGTATGTTAAAATATAGTGTCAAATTAACACTCATACCCCATTTTCACCACCCTCTGAAAACCTTTCTGTGCTGAGCTTAAATCAGTTAACAATGCCAAGCTCGGATCCTTACAACCATTTACCACACCTTTATCACACTGCTAAGGAGAATTCAATTCATTTTATTTATATAGCGCTATAGAATAACCACTGGAAATCATGTGGCAAGGTAGGGAAGCTTGTATTTTTATAAATATTTGAAATTTCATGATTATGGAGGCTGACTATAAATAGGAGATGAGGAGGTCTGTTTTTGTGCTCTTTGTTATCTGAGAATTGAGCCAGAACGGAACCGCGCCGAGCCCTAGTGAGCAACTAGTACCAGTTAAGCATGGTTCGATAGTGTCTGGTGAGGTCCGGTTCAGTTGTGCCTGTCATTTACACTGAACAGTTATCTTGGTTTCCATGCTCGGACCGATCTTGGCACGATTTCAAAGGGGTAGTGTAAATGACACTTTAGTTAACACAATCAGCTAAGCTATGGTCATCTGAACTCAGCCAGCAAACATCAACAGCTAACATAGTTCAATCCAAAAGGATGTCCTTCGAAAGCAAAATAATAACGTGTGAGTGAGTGTGTGTGCCTTTGTGCTTGTGCGCATACATGTGGATGTGTGTGTTATACTGTAAATGCATGCGTATATGAAGAGAATTCATGGAGGAAAAGCTAGTAGAAGAGCAGGTATTAGATTGTGCAGGGTTTTTTTTCCATAGAAAACAAAACAATGATCAATTTAAATGGATATTTGTGTATATGGCAGTTGTACAAAATGGGGCTTATAAATATTCTAAGTAAAACAGACCATAGCAAGACTGCACAATCCAAAATTAAACAGATCACTCTAGTCACTTTAAATTAATCAAAACAAAAAGCACCGAGGTAGATCAAGGATTAATTTACAAGACTTAATTTGACAGTTGCTGGACTAGTCTGAGACATATTTATATTGTTGTGGTTGTTGGATGCATGATTATCCAAATATCTTAGAATTAAATTTTCATTATATCTGAATAGTTAAGTTAGATTTGAATTTGAGCATAAGTATTGAAAATTAAAAACAATCCACTGGACTTGGTTTCCAAGTTTGAAGATGTTTTGCTTCCCATCCAGGGTTTTTTTTTTTTCAATTCAAAATGTCAGGATTAGCATTGAGTTTGAAGTTTTCTACAGTAGCCCATCAAAGCCTATAAAACTTCAAACTCAACCCAATTCAAAAACTTTGAAAACAATTGAACTGATCTGATCTGTTTTTCACAGTTTTTACAATGACTCTTCAAAGAAGCTTTGGTGTAATTAAGTATGTTGGCGCTTCTTGGGAACCATAGTTACAGTACGCTATATAGTTTTGTCATTTTGTTGTAACTTAGGTTGCAACATATCTCTGGTGGGTAGCTACATTGTAGTGAAGATTAATTTAATGAACACATTGTAGCCTAGCTCACTACATTATCTAAGTTGCTTCCTCAACACTGTGGCTGTTTCTCAATTCACAAGAAATTGAGTACGGACTTGTGTCCTCTCCAAGTATGTTCTTGAAAAAAACACAAGAAAGTATGGACTTTGGGAGAATGCGAGCACGCAACATAAATATAGGTCAATTGGAACAGAAGCACACTATTGACGTCACCACATGCTCGCTCGTCTGGAGCTGCATTTCACCTCCTGTTATTAATAGCCTCTAGATAATAATACTTTTTTTTCCATTTAGTGGGAGAATAATAATTAACACAGTCAGATAAACACAAATCAAATAACATTTTGCTAAATAAAACATAAAAATCTCCACCAGAGCCAGCTGTACTTCACACACGGCCATGCCGAGAGAGGGATACCGCAGATGGGCTAACGTTAGCCCTGGCTGCGGTTAGACTCGGAGGACCAGTGGTTGCAGCAAACCTCTCAACATCGGAACCTTTTTTGTGATTATGTACTAAATTAGTAAATGGGCCATATAGTGACGCTTAAAAGCATAATGTTCTCAAAAAATCTTAAAACGTACTTTTATAGAACGACGGTAATATAAAATAGAACTTCCACTGAAAGCTGCTGCTGCCGCAGTGCATGCTGGGACCGCTGTCAATCTTGAGAACGGACAAGTCTGCTCTTATGCATACTCTGTAAAGAGGGAGGGGCGAGAACAACATCAACGGCTGTAAAGAGGAGGGGGGTGAGGACAACATCCACTGCTGGCTAGCTCAATTGGTAAGTTATCCATCCTGCAGGGGGAAGAATGCTGGTGGGAATGAGCTGCCAGTGTGGTTCTTGTCTAAGGACCCACACTGGGCCCTTAGGCCTTAGGCCAGAAGAACCTTCACACTAATGCCTGCTTTTAGGAGTGATTAGGGTGTTGGGCTTAGAAGGTTCGGAGTTTGAGCCCCACTCCCACAGACCCCTGAGCAAAGACCCTTACCCCCACACAGCTACCCAAAGGGATGGTTCAAATGCAGAGAGTTCATTTCGTTGCTCTGTACTTGTGACAGTGTAATGACAATAAAACTCTAAAAAACACCTGGGAACTTTGTGGCGTGTTCTTGTTATTTGGAACAGTACTAGGTCTGAGGCTGATGACACTTCACCACAAGTACACATATTGAGAAATGTATAGGAGCACTATTGACAGCTTGCTGTTTTTTGCTGTATCAAGCTCAAACCTCATTGTTTTCTTGGGCAAGACACCTCACCCACATTGCTTAATAGTGGTCAAAAGGCCAATGGGTGCCTATACACAGCTGTGGCTATAATAGGACTTACCACCATCAGTGTTTAAATGTGTGTATACATAGGTTACAGCATCTATACTAGTGTAGCATCAAAAGTAAACAAATCACCAAATCGAATTATATTCGTCACCTAGCCTGGAGCAGCACCCCACCAAGGCAAAATATCAGTTTCAGTTCAGCCTTTTCAAAGGGGGTAAAGTATCAGAGGATGTGGTGTCTGAGGCCTTGTTGTTATCTCTGCAGTCTACCAGTGTAAGATAAATTCAACTAGGGGTGCAACAATAAAACATAAAAGCAGGTGCAAATTTTCGAATATGAAATATAATAATGATAGACAAACCTTCTTTGATTTGTTGGAGAATCTGAAGCAGCTGAAAGAAAAAAGGTTAATTGAAACACCAAAATGTAACTGAAGATGCAAAGTATCAATGAATAGAGGATTATCTCACCACTCAAAGATGACAAGCGTGCTACAGAGCATCACAGTTCCCAGGATCTTCAGTATAATATGGAGTCCAATCACTGGAACATCTGTAACAGTATAGCCTGCTTAGCTTTTCTGCTATTACTTTAGATAATTATATATTAAACATGCTCAACATTTCTTGACATATGCCAGCACAGCTCCACCCAGTTACTTAATGACACCAAACCTGATGGACTGCTAGATGCTTAGATGTTTTTAGGAGCATCTGAGGAAGATGGGACACACATTAACTTTATTACTATACTTTACTACAGAGCAGCATAGCTCCCAAGATCTTCAGTATAATATGGAGCCCAAAGACTGGATCATCTGTAACAATGACTTTAGATAATTATAAAATCTGTTTCTTCTATTTTCATTGCTTTTTTTTAAGAGCAATCATTGAGAAATGTTTTGTAAAAATCATCCAAAAATATTCTCATCTATAACCCTGGATGGAAGAAGCATTCCCTGTGAACAATCAGTGTTCTCCATTAACATTTATTACTTCAAAATTATAAGTACAGCACTGCAGTGTGTGGCCAATGTTTACTTCCTGGTTCCTGATCCAACAACATGAAAGGTTCCTAGGTTGCTTAAACAGAGGGCCATTTTTTTGTATTTTATGTTGGCAAAAGAGCAGGTGCATCCAAACATGGAAGCCAGGAAGACAAGTAGACCCGAAATAATCTCAACATTACATAAGAAGGCTCTGCATCCATCAAAAATATTTGGAGGTCGTTTACTGCGGCTGAATCGTCTTCATTAATCATCTTGAATTTAGCTGCGTTAAATCCTTCTCTCTTTTCATTTAACAACCCAAATGACACTCTTTGAGGGATATGACTTGTAGGCATTCATCTTATGTGTTGTTCCAAAAGTGCCAAGGTATCATTATTACTAATGGCTCCTTTTAATAATTAAAAAAATAATAATAATAAAGAAATTCTTACTTGAGAAAAATAAAGGTTAAACCTGAACCACAAACACATTTTATCAAAGTAAAAGAACAATATGAACCAAAGAGTTTGTTGAAGACTGACCTTTAACACTAAGAAAGATGACGGAAGATCTCTGAGTCCCCAGATCATTTGTAGCCTCACAGTAATACTCTCCTCCCTCAGTATCATTGAAGCTGTAAACCTGCCCCACAGATACATTAAAGGCTCCATGTTTGCTGTTCCAGAACCAGGTGAAGCTGGCAGGAGGCTTGGCTCTGCTGGAGCAGCTCAGCTCCACCCAGCTACCTGCTGACACCAAACCTGATGGACTGATGGATGCTGAGGTATCTTTAGGAGCATCTGAGGAAAATGGGACACACATTAACTTTATTGATCAGAAACAGCTGAACCATGACGTGCTGACATGATCACTAACATGCAACACTAAGAGTAAACTTTGTCTCTTCTGTCTTGCTTCCTCCTTTCGCAGGATATCTGGCAAAACAGATGATTTTGTATCCATCATGTGTGTCTGACAGAGTGATGGTCTCCTGGATTTTAGTTGTTAAGGTTCCATCTGTGTTTTTCTCTGTTCGTCCCTCAGAGTCTTGTTGGAGATTCCAGGTGAGTTCAGGAGGTGAGTGTGGACAGGGAGTCAAAGCTGAGCAGCTTATAGTGACAGACTGATGCTCCTTCAGATCACCAACAGAGATATTAATGCTGGGACTCCAAGGAGAATCTGGGAGTTCACATCAGACAGACAGTTTAGTAAGTAAAGCAAACCTAAAGCATTTACAATAAAGGCTCAACTGTTTACACTTGTTTCTGAGTGTAACCTAAAAGAAATACAGTATATACACTATATGACCGTTTGTATTCGTAAAATGGTTTGTACTAAAGATAATAAAGAATTTCCATTAAATTTAAAATAAAGCTGATAGAAAAATCTTTAGTTTATTTTAGTTTATTTTACTTTTAACTGTCTGTTTGTCACAAGCTTGTGTTTGCTACAAGCCACCTGGGAGACACCCCATTTTAATGGGTATCTTTAAGAAAAGCTTTTTTCTTGCTACTCTTACATCAAGGCCAGATTTGTTCCCTCCATTTCAACACTTTAACACTTGCACAGTGCTCCTTGTGATGTTTAAATTTGTTTATCCAAACCTGCCTGGTGTGTTCCCTCATGATCTGTGCCTTAAACTGAACTCTGAGGCTATCACAGAGCAGTCAGATAGAAATGGAGACTTGAGTACACACAGGTGGATTATTTTTATCATCATCATCAGTCATGTAGGTCACAGTTGGATCATTCAAAGATCCTCACTTAACTTCAGCAATTAATGGGCTCTATGCATAACTCCACATTTTCTTGAACTAAAGGCAGCTCTTTTGTTTCCTGTCTTTCTCTACTGGATGAACTGATTAATCCAGATGTGCCTGACCTCAGTAACCATGGCCAGACACACCTGGATTAATCAGATAATCCAGTAATAAAAGAAAGGAAACAGAAGATGTAAGTTTCAGATGTAAGTTTGAAATATCCTGCAGTGCAACATTTCATTTGATGTCATAACTTGTAAAAAAGAAAAATCCTCTTACCTTTTACTTCTATATCGAGAGGATCATCACAAGCTGTTGCTCTGAATGGCCAGTTCTCAATCCTGAAGCGGTATTTGTCTGTATAACTGGTGTTTAAATCGGGAAATAGAGTGGTGCAGTTTTTCTCTTTCAAATTTCCAATGATATTCAGTGAATATGAGTTATTTAACCCACTGCTGTTGAAGACATCTCCATCTATAGGTAAAATTTTGTGACCACCTTTGATCCAAACTCCATAGATAGTTCTATTGCTGTTATATCTTGTATCCTTTGTATCATAGATACACAGGATTTCCAAACAAGATCCACTTAGAGCTTCAATCTTCTTTGGTGTAGTGATTCTGACGACTGGTTTTATACTACCACAATCAGCAAAAGTACCTGTAAAAACAGACAAATTATTAACTTGATCCTCAGAAACTTCACGATCCACAAACTCCAGTTCAGCTGCAGGCTATTATAATATTTTAGACTAGAAACTATTCACGTTAACCATCCATCAGTCTTCTCCGACCTCATCTTTGTCAGGGTCGTGGTGGGGTCGGTGCCTATCTCTGGCAGTCTATGGGCGGGGGGTGAGGTAAAGTTTGTTACATGGCAAAATAGATACAAACAAACATTAACACACACTCACACCTAAGGACAATTTAGAGAAGCCAATTAACCTAACAGTCATTATTTTGGACTGTAGGAGGAAGCTGGAATACCCGAAGAGAACACATGCATGCATGGGGTGAACATGCAAACTCTATGCAGAAGCACCCTGGGCCAGGAATCAAACCCAGAAGATTCTTGCTGAAAGGGAACAGTGCTTCCCACTGCAACACCGTGCAGCCTCATGATTCAAGTTTTGTTGGTATGTAAATAAAAGGATGTGAACAAACAGCTCACCTGGAAGAGAGAAGACGCTCAGTAACAAGTTTACTGTCAGCATGCTCTCAGACAGAGCTGCCATCAGACTCAGACGATCCTTCATTTCTTAGACTGTAAAAACTTTCAGAAAAAGAGTTCCTTTTTAAATAAAGTCACATTTAGATAATGCCTTAGTCTCTTTATCCGTTACTTCAAGTAATATATTCTAATCTTTTTAATCATTTAGCACTTTTCCAGAGGTTGTTGAACTACAATTTTAACATAGTTTTTACACTAAAGGTCACAATGAATGTACAATTAATAACTTCTTACCTAATGAAGCTTTATATCAAGAGGTGTATCAGTTGGTGATCAGGAGATCTGAAGAGCAACTTCTCTGTTTTAAAGCTGGTATTGTGTGGAAACCAGCCACATTTGTTGTTCCTTTTCTGTGAGAGGATGTTGCTTCAAGAATTTGCATTGAGACTGTTTTGACGGGTTTATTACAATAACTCCCTTACTGATGTATGCTGTGTTCTGAATACCAGCTGAAATAAAAGAAGAAACAGTTGGGGCAATTTACATGAAAGATGTATTTGTTTTCTCCGGTTTTGACAGTCATTGTATTTGTTAACTGATCATTAATGTTTTTACATTTACCTAAGGTGGTATTCATATATTCTTTCTGTTAATAATTTCTGGACATAATTATCTAAAACTACTTTCATTGATTGTGATTTTTATATAGGCATTCAACATTGCCGCGTATAAAGACTGCTAAAGCACTTAAAGAAATAAATAGAGCCCATGGAGTTTAATACTTTTGCTTGGCACATAGCAGCTTTATTAAGAACTGCACAGTATCAAACATAGACATTTCTTTTTTAACAAATATCGCCTTCATCCCAATGACTGCCTTGTAGTGAATAAAACCTCTATTAAATGAAACAACAAACCAAATGTAGACATAAAAGCAGTCAGCAAATTGTATTATTAGTGGAAGGCTGCAGTGGAAGGTGCCATTATCTCTGCACCAATAGCATTTTTAAGAAAGCTTTTTCATGTCAACCTACATTGCAAGGTTAAAACCCCTTATGTTTAGACATAAATGGCTGTCTGCTGACCTTTTTGTCAGTAGTCAGTACATTTCTGCTCTACAGGTTATAAACTAACAACTTTACATCGTATCAAACTATTATTTCTTCAGTCTTTTTGCATAACAATGTATTACAAAATAGTTACACAAAACTGAGAGGTATGCTCACCTTTATGAGACACTACACATCTGCTTTGTAGCTTCCTCATAAACTATAGATTTTTCTTGTTTTTATTTATGATCCTAGTTTGCTTTTTCGGCCATTTGAGGACTTTATATAATTGTAAACTAAAGAATCAGACCACTTACTTTGTAACTAACTAGGAGGCCAGAGTTAATGAGTCTCTCGAGAAATAGCATTTCAGTTTCTTTTGTGAAAGTTAGTAACAATTAGGGATGGGATTCTAAAACTGGTTCCTGTTCAGAACCGGTTCTGTATGATCCAATTCCATGGCATCATTTGGCAGCTCACTTAATGCTTCTCTTAACGATTCCAGGCAGCACCAGAGCCGCTCTGGGTAGCACGACTTACGTCACATTTGTTACGCAAGTTACACACACGGCATTCAGTAAGCAAGTACGACGTGACCGGGCGTAAGTCTAGAAAAGCAAAACAAAAAAAATGGCGTCCCATCGGGTGAGGTGATCGAAAGTTTGGGTTCATTTTAAGGAATAGAAAGATGGCAACAAGGCGCTTTGCAATCATTGCAAAGTGGCAATTACATCCGTGGGAGGAAATACATCCAACATGCAGAAACACCTGCATACACGACATATATTTTAACCAAACCATAATCCTACACAATAAAACCAAAATTTTCATTCTTTAAATGTGTGATCATAATATATAGATAGAAACTGAAAATACTGTTTGTGCAGTGAAGCCTTTATTTAGCCACATTAAAGAGAACTTCAGAAACATACAGGTACAATCAGGCTATGCTAAAAAGATCTGTATCGTAAATTATTCTGCACCCTTGTTTATGTTCATTGCTTCAAATCTGATCCACTCAGTTCACCAAAACTATGAATTTATTCATTGAACGCATTCATGCACAACACTAGCCATGTTATGCCTGGGCTGCTGTCATCAATGACTTCTCTTACTGTTGTTACAGTTGGGCCTGTTTTTCAGTGCTTAGTCCTGTTTGTCTCCTAGCCATAGCTATTATTAGAATAGAATAGAATAGAATAGAATAGAATAGAATAGAATAGAATAGAATAGAATAGAATAGAATAGAATAGAATAGAATAGAAAATCCCTTTATTGTCCCCTTTATTTGGTGTTTACACCAGCAAAAAGATTGGCTCAGCTTTTAAGTTCACAGCCCTCTCTTTCAACCCTTTTAACACAGGACTTAGTTCAGAACTCATCTTCTTACCTGTTTCTTTCCTAGACAACCACCTATGGAGTTTGTTTATTGAAACCTCCAGCAGAACATGGCTGCTCACTCTGATGCTGGTTGTTTCTTACTGTTTAAAATATATATTTTTTTACTCTCCACTGTCACAGCATGAATCATCCATTTAACGATTGCTGTAGAGTCAACGACAGAATGCAAATAAAAGTCTGCTGTCACCAAAAGCTCATCCAGGAGTAGTGAATCCTGAAAAGTCTATGTCTGAAGGCAAACAGTTTTGTTTCCCTAGATAGAAAATGTTTAACCAGTGTATGTATGATCTGATTTTATTGTCTTGTTAAAGTGTCATAGGGTGAAATGTGTTATTAATTGAGGTTTTATAAATAAACTGAATTGATTTGACTGAATAATTCTAACTTTTGGGGGAGTTCCAGTTTAAATTTCTACACTAAGGTTGGAAATTTTAGCTTCTGAGTACAGCTGACATCAAGAATCTTTCCAGTGCAGACTAATGTTGATCACTTAATCACAAAATACAGTTTTGGGAACCCTTGCCTCCATGAATGGAATCACAAGCTGATTTATATACTTAGAATTGGGATCACCTTGAAAGGTTATACCGGTCTAATCATCGGTATCACTCAAGATCTTTAGAAGGTTTGAAAACAAGTGCTACCAGGACCTTCTGCCCTCTGAGGATTGGCCCTGTAAACTCCCTACTGAAATGACAATAAGACATACAAGTTTAGTTGGCAAAAGATGAACATTTAATTTTTCCTTTTGATTTGGTTTGGTGGTTCAAAACGTGAAATAATTTTTTTTAACCTACAGTACTATAAATGGAGAATTTGATCATGTCAGCCCTGTTTATAGTTCCAAAATTATTTAAGACACAATCAGATTGGAGATTAAATAAAAATGTTCATCATGTAATTAACATGAAGCTGGGGGCTCATCAATAGAGGAGAACATGAACATGATGAAGATTTTTTTTATTATTACCAAGTAGTATATATGCCTATTTTTTGACTTGCTTTTATATATAGATAACGAATAAAAACAATTTCATATGGTCTTATTTCCCGGAAACAAAAAAACATGGAACATGAAATAACTTTTACTTTGATGATATATGCTTAATTTTGCTCTATTTTGAAAGACTAGACTTTAAGAAAAGATTGTTCCCCTTTCTTTAGCTGTGTCATGGGTGTCCTTTAACAAATTCCTCTCAGTCATCCATTGGTTTATATGGTTAATGTGTTGATTAAATTCTGGTAAAAATTACATTCTTATGAAGTTTCATAATGTAGCTGGCTACTGACTGAATATTGGCAGAGGAAGCTACTGAATTGAAGATCTTAAATCTGTGCAATGTGAGCTAATCTCCATTCTTTGTCACTACCCTTGTAAGAAAATAAGTTGTTAAACAGTTTTAATGAAAACTCTAAGTTTGTTAACCATGAAATCAGGGAGTTTTCTGTTGTACAAAGAAAGCTTACTCAACCTCAGTGTCTATTACAACATTTTCCCTCAAACTAACCTGGTAAGATACAGGTTTTTCTCAATAAGCTTGGAGTGTCATCTGTCTCCGCCATCCTTAAAGCCAATTAATTTCCTGAGTCGGTCAGAAGGGTTTTGTCATAGTTCTGTACAAACAAAAAAAATCTGTCAGTAGGTCTGTTAGACACATTGGATGTTAAAAACACAAATATGACATGTATTTTTTAAATGGATCAAATTAAAGAATGAGCAGCATCAATTCACAGAGAATTAAATATTTTTACCAAGAGGGTCCTCTGATTGCATAAACTGCAGATGTCCTTTCAAATTCAGAAAGTTGTCTTTATGAGCACTACCAATCCATCACATACATCTACAACCTTATCCGTGCTCACATTTTCAGCATTACATAGACTTCTTAACCGGTATTTAACAGAACTTGATATCTGTGAGGGAACATTGATGTGTGATAACAGCATAATATAAAACAACTGAACAGTCAAACGGCCACTTAGGGTTTTATTGTGTAATGGAAGATAGAATCAAAATGAGAAGGTCCCCCATGAGATGATGCACAGGTCCTCACTGTTTAAACAATGTTTTTATACAGGTGCGCCCCTACCCAATGAGAATTTCACCTAAATTGAATGCATTGTTCCAGTACCTTTCAAGCAGCAAACAAATTTCTCCCCGTCATGTTTTTGTGGTTACAACCGCTTAAGGCAGGCCGATAGGGTATTTGTTAGTTTGACTGAATAAGTAACGATCCAGTCAAGCTGATGAAATTCAAAATGGTCACTTAAACTGTGTAAACATTTCTAGGTATTTTTCTATCTGACATTATATATATATATATATATATATATATATATATATATATATATATATATATATATATATATATATATATATATATATATATATATATATATATATATATATATATATATATATATATATATATATATATATATATATATATATATACGCTTTCTGCCCTCAAGAAAGTAATTTAGGGACTGCCTAGGAATGTGATTTTGACCAGGAATAATCCTATTTTAGTGACCTACAAATGTAGCAAATTGAATCTTCTCCTTTACCCTTCTCCAGTGATTTTTCTCTTTCTTTTAACCATTTTATCAAATATTTTGTTTAATTTTGCATTAAAATCTCTAGTTTCAGTGTTCTGAAATAGGCAGACTTCCTCCTTCCTGTTGTCATGGTGACTCATCACATCCATGCTCTACTGATAATGGCTTTTCCAAGTGAACCTAGTCAGAGTTGATTAGTCTCAGAACTCAAACCAGCAGTTGTAAATAAGTAATACTGTATGAAATTTACTGTATAAATAACCAAAAATAATTTTCATTGACGAATGACTTATTAATAAATGAACATTCCCTATAAATAATCAATCTTCCTCATCAACAATGCCGTAGTCAAGTTAGGGTTGCCAAAAGCAGAGCTTAGAATTTAATATTATGTTGAAAAAGCAGCCACCTGCAAACATGGAATTCAGAGAGGGATGTGAACCAAAACTAGTCTCAACATTACCTAAGAAGTCTCAGCATCCTTCAAAAGTATTTGCAAAACAAGTTGCTTTTGCTTAATCGTCTTCATTGGCCAATTCGGAATATGACTTTGCTACCTTCTCCTCTCTTTTGACTTCACAACCCTAAGGACACTCTGAAGGGGGGACTAAATGATTTTTTGCATGTAGTTCCAATTTTGAACACTGGGTGTCATTATTACTTATTGAATTTTAACTGCTTCAGACGTGTCAGGCTGTGGCAAAGCTAGGAACAAGTCTACTGAGAGAAGTTTTGAGTTATTTACAGATCATGAAAGAGTGAAGTCTAAGCTTTCCAATGATGTCAGACTTTTTATAATAAAAGAAGGAATATAGAGGATATGACCATTTGAATGTCAGCACTCTGCAAAGAGTATCAAGGAGAAAAATCAGCAGCTTAATCACCCTTAACATAATAGCTGAAATAAATATTGAAACACATGGAAAAAAAAACCTCTGAAAACAGCTGAATAAAGCGTACAATGCCCTGTTTGCATGACTTTTGTGAGAGTTAACAGGAACTGATTGCTGTTGTTGTGCAACTTTATTATATTTATTGCCTTCCCTAGTAGGGATGGAAAATATGTTATTTAATCAGATATTATTTGGACTGTCATATATTGTTTGGGAACATACACCCTCTGCCTGTGTGTTAGAATTACAAATTAAAGTGAATCCAGCTCAAATCTTTGTCATACATCATTCTGTACATATATGTACATTTTCATCACAACTTCCTTTCAAAATATACGATTTTATTAATGAAAAAGATCATGACTAAAAACTTGTGAACCTCAACTAAACTAAGCTACAATGGACAGAATGATGAACACGGTTGAAAAGCATAATCATGATGCAATGACGTCACAGTTTAGCATGGATTTTATGTTTAAAAACCAAAGTTTGTCTTGAAGATTTGGAAATGTGATCAAACAAGCTTTTAGCTTATTTAGAGCAATTGGAATGTTTTCAAAACAATTCACAATGCAAATCCAAGAGGTTAATAAAACATTATTTGGCCAAATAATATTTTATTCAATTATTTTCTTAATCAAAAACCTTTAGTTGATTGATTCTTAGCCTCCTTTGATATGAGAAAACACATGAACGTTAAGATATATCAGTGTTTAAACCCTTAGTGAAATAAAGCTTGTTTTAGCTTTATAAACAATAGCTCACGTGTGTTACTGTAGCATTGCTTACCATGCAATACATGTTGTTAATTTTGTTGTTACTCAACAGTAAACACATGAAATGATCAAAATCCTCAAAAGACATCTTGTTTAACTGGAGAATCTGCCCTTAAGTGTACCAGACATGTTTTCTGCAGGGCTCACAGGTTCACAGCAGGGGTTTTCCTTTGTTCCTGCCACACATCAGGGGTGCTCTCCTCCTCCACTCTCTTCATCTCTTCAAGAATCTACAGTTCCACCAACTCAAAGAGGAATATTTTTGGCTCTGAAATGACAACCATCATGACTTAGCCTTGGTCAGTCTGGAGATCTGGACCTTGGGCCTAGGGTTTATATTATAGCCCCATGGAAGCTTTGGGGAAAGAAAGGAAGATTCTGTGTGGTTTTTCTGTCCTAAAACACCATGGGGACAAAAGGTGCACCTCTGAGGTCTTTTAGAGTGGGCTGGGTATGGGTTGAAGAATCTTGGAAAGAAGAGCAGCAATGTGGGTCAAAACTGCACCCTCTACCCTACTGAACACGTAAATATGAAACATGGGCATCAGTCCTCAATGTCCAAAATCATTAACAAGGTTTAGAGCCCAACACTATTGTAATGAAGCCCATCCAGTGTAGGAAAGTGAACCAACTGGCTGGGGGCATATTATTATTAAATTTAATTATCTCAGCTGTCCAGTAGAAAGCCAGAAACATCAAGGTCCATTGTGAAGCCCCATTCCGACATGAACTGTCTTCACTGGTGCACTCCTCCACACAGGTCTTCTCTAGTCAGGTTTCTGGACTGTCGCTGAGAAACACAGAGTTTGAGCTGGTTAAGTCATGCCAGAACCTTTTTACCTTTGTATGCTTCTTCCAGAGCCACTCCTTGTTTATCCTGGCTGTGTGCTTTGGGTCATATCATTTTGGAAGACACAACCTCAACCCATCTTCAATGCTCTAACTAAGGAAAGGAAGTTGATCCCCAAAATCCCGCAATTCATGGCCCCTTTCAGTTCAGTGCAGTTGCCCTCTCAAGTGTGCATAGAAAACACCCCCAAAGCATGATGCTGCCACCCCCATGCTTCACAGTAGGGATGGTGTTCTTTAGATGGTACTCATCCTTTTTTCCTGCAAACACGGTTAGTTGAATTATGACCAATATTTTGGTCTAATCTGACCACATGACTTTCTCCACTGACTCCTCTGGATCATCCAACAGATCATTGGCAAATGTAGTTCTGGGCTGATTTATCACCTGAGGTAAGATCTTGTCTGAGGGAGATTGACAGTCATGTTTAACTTCATCAATGTTCTAATGATTGCTGCAACAGTGGACCTTTTTCACCAAGCTGCTTGGCAATTACAGTAGCCATTTCCATCCTTATGGAGGTGTACAGTTTTGTCTCTAGTAGATCTGGACAGCTCAGGTCTTGGCCATGTTAGTTGGATTCGATTTTGTAGGGTGGGCAGGTGTCTTTAAGCAGCTAACGACCACTATCAGGTCTTTGAGGGTCAGAATTTTAGCTGATAGACAGGCGTTCAAACACTTATTTGCAGCTGTATCATAAACATAAATAGTTTAAAAATTATATATTGTGGTGTTTTGATTGTTTTTTATGTCTCTCATATTGGTTACGTACCTACGATGACAATTTCAGACCCCTTCATAATTTTTAAGTGGGGAAACTGGCACAGAGCAGGGTGTTAAATACCTATTTTCCTCACTGTATGTGTAGAGTGCAAGGTAAGAAAAAAACAGGTAAGAACACAAAACAGAATAGTAGCAGATAAGCTGACAAAAAAGCTTTCATTCAGTAGATCATTTTAAGCCGACCATACAGTGTGCGATATTTTCAAACGTTGCAAAGATCACAGCTCTCAATGTATGTTCTCTCACTGTGTGACGCACTGATGCGAGGTTACAACAGCCTACATGTTTGATTTTCTCCTAACCTTATGATTCTAGATTGTGAGGTGGTTGTGACAGGCCGATCGCCCCTTGTTACCCCTATACACTACACAACGCATGACGCATGATCAGGCTGAAGGTCGGCCCGATCGAACATATTCATGTACGACTGGAGAATTTGCCTGAAAAGGACAAAAAGTGTATGCCTGGAATTACACATAACATAGAAGTTATGTCATCACCCCATATTAAATGCTTTCCAGAAGCACCCATACACTTAACATATCAGTGGACTTTTGTCTAAACAAGACATCTTTATCACATTCTTCTACTTATCTGTACTCTTCACTTCTTGCTTAAAGGAATAGTACACCCAAAACATGATTAGCCTTCATTTTCTACTCACCCCCATGCTGAACAACACTCTGGAGTACTTTTTTGATATCTCAAATGCATCTGGAGATCTGGGAGGCTTCTTGCTGTCTGCTGACATTCAAATAATGGAGGTCTATGGTGCCCGAGACAGAAAGGTCCATAAAAGTCCACAAAAAACGTTTCAATATTCCTCCATACTGCTCGTCCAATGTATTCCAAGTGTCCTGAGTGGGTAGCATCCAGAATTTACTCGAAACAAAGTCATTTAGAATGTTTTTAGAGCATAAACAGTAGTGTATAGGATTTCCTGAAAGCGCGCACATGCGCGATCACGACGCTACGGAAGCCGGCAGACCAAACCAGCGCATTCAGCTCGGCAAAGAACTCATGCTCTTCCTCAACACTGAAGTCCTCAGACATTTTTCTTTCATTGTTTCTTTCTTTGCACAGGTAAACGGCACATTTCTTCTTCTACGCTTGCATTACTGGCAGAGCAGACGCTGAATGCGCACTTTCATCTGGTTTGGTCTGCCGGCTTCCGTAGCGTCGTGATCGCGCATGTGCGCGCTTTTAGGAAATCCTATACACTACTGTTTATGCTCTAAAAACATTCTAAATGACTTTGTTTCGAGTAAATTCTGGATGCTACCCACTCAGGACACTTGGAATACATTGGACGACCAGTATGGAGGAATATTGACACGTTTTTTGTGGACTTTTATGGACCTTTCTGTCTCGGGCACCATAGACCTCCATTATTTGAATGTCAGCAGACAGCAAGAAACCTTCCAGATCTCCAGATGCATTTGAGATATCAAAAAAGTACTCCAGGGTGTTGTTCAGCATGGGGGTGAGTAGAAAATGAAGGCTAATGTTTTGGGTGTACTATTCCTTTAATTTCAATATACAAGGAGGAGTTGAACAGGGAGATGTGGCAGAGCAGAGAAGAGAAAAGAGAAGAAGAAGTGATACAGAGAGAGAAGCATACCAGCCAACAAGATAAAGGTTCTCAAATCTTCCTTTTGATTTAGGGGATAAAACTACTGATCCACTCAGTTAAAACTGTTCTAGTACCCACTCGCAAAGACTAAGCAATAATAAAAGCTTTCTTTAGGAGTGCAACACAGGGCATGGTAAGCCCTTTATTCGCTGATAGGCTGGTTTGTTTCCGGATCCACAAAATGTATGAAAGTGAGACAGCTTATGAAATAACGTGCACAAAACTGATCATCCAATCATACCAATGGAACTTAAAAGGAGATGTGTGGATGCATTTCTAAAGCAGTCTTTAATTTCAGTTCCCTTTGTTTGCACAAGCATGTTTTGTGCCAAGGCAAATAAACTTTAAGCAATCTGTAATTTAGATCTGTGTACAAATAGCCGATTGCAATAACTTCTGGAGTTCATGAAATTGTTTGTTTAAAATACATTTAAAAATGCAATAAAACATTGAAATATTAGTTGGTGATCAAATAATTACAGCTAAAAAAATAAACCTACATATTTGAAGATGATGAACAATGGGAAGCCAAATCTTGAAATCTTAGAAGAGCTAGTTTACATATGGAGAAGACGGAATGATAAACATTAAGAGGAAGTTATGAAACATCACAACTCTGGCGGCCAGACATGAAACTTTTCACTTGGAGCAATATACTGGAATTCATGTGCAGAAACCAAATGGACACCAGATGAAATGAAACGTTATCGTTTTCCTTTGCTTGCTGCCTGGTGTCTCTGGACCCGTTCTAGCTTGTTTTCTGTCTCCTGTGTCTATCTGCAGGCAGCCTGTGCTTCCTGTTTTGGAGGCAGTGCAGTGCTGTCTGGCCACAGAGCTGCAGTAGAGTGTGCCAATGAAAATGCAGAAGGAAACAGCGGCACCCAGCTGGAGCTCTGCAAGGCGAGGGAACGCAGATAAAAGGGGGCAATGGTTATTGTGGTCAGATACAGAGAGCTTTCCTGTCCCTGGGCTCTGATACTGTGGAGAAAATAGTTCCCTGTCAATGACAGTCCATATGCTGGAACCATTTAACAGGAAAACAAAAATATTCAGCACAGAAAATTACTTGGAAACATCTGATGTAAGATTTCAGCCATCAGAAAAAGTGGAATAAAAAGAATAACTAACTATTAATTTAGATATATTAAATTACTGATTACAAAAACTTAAACAGAGGAATAATTATTTTCAATTAATAATCTTATCATTAGTTCAAAACACAGCATTGCAATCAGGGGAGTAAGATTAGTAAGGAAGAAGTACATTGTTGAAATCCTTGCCCTGTTGTAAAACAAAAACGGCAATCCATAATAGGTTTACTGATGGAGTCACAATAATTTTTTAATTCAATTGTAACATTTAAAAGAGACCATGATGCAACATACATGTCAGTCCCTATAAGAATCCCCAGGGTATGAAAAAGAAACAACCCACAGCTTGAAAGATCGTACATGATACTAAACAAAGTGTATGTTCCTTTAAATCAAGACTAAAAACACATTTGTTTAAGATTGCCTTCGACTGTTCTAGTTAAACGCTTCAACTGAAACATCATTAGTTCAACTTTTTTTATTTTCTTTAGTCCAACTGTTTTTAATGTTATTTTTTGTTGTGCTTTACAAATACATTTGCCTTGCCTTGCCTTGCCTTGCCTTGCCTTGCCTTGCCTTGTTTATTCATTGCAAACTTTTGCATAAATCCCAGACTAATCTGAAATGGTTGTTCAATTTGATCTAACATATTTCAAATGTTTTATTTCTCAAGATCATTTTTAGAACTGTATTTACCCAGTCCAAACCAAATGAACCTCTTCATTTAATGCCAATTTGCCTTTGGGTCCCTTTGACTGATTAATTTAGCAACGGAATTCTGGAATTTCTACCAAACAGTCAGTTTTCACATGGACAAATTAACGTCACTCAAAATTTCTTGAAGATGCTGACCTCTGCTCTGGTAACCTAACAGTGAACCTTGAATATTTTTCATCTCTCCTTCCATCTGTGTCGTGATCGAGACCATTTACCTTAGTCACCTTTAATTTTAGCTTTTTTTAATGT